TGTTAGTTTTTTGAGAAGCCTCCACATTTCTGGAGTGGCTGCACTCACCTATACTCCCAACACTGGATAAGAAGAGTTTCTCTTTCCCCATACCCTCACCAGTACTTACTGCCTTTTTCTTGATTATCATTCTCACCAGAGTAAGATGAAGTCTCAGAATAGTTGTGATACACGTATACAATAGAATTTTATTGAGCAATAAGGAAAATGAGATTATTAAATTTTCAGGAAAAAAGGATGGAACTGAAAAACTTAAATGAGATAATCCCTGCTCAAAAAGGCAGATCCCACAAGATTCTTTCCTATGTACAGATTCTCAGCTCTGGCTGTTAAATATGTGTATTCATGTGGGAGAAATGTGGGCAAAAGCCGGGAAACTAGAAAGGGCACATAGGACTAGGGGAAAAACAAATCTCTAAGTGGGAAGGAAGGATGGGGAAAACAATAGAGCAAAGTAGGAGGAGGAATCCTAGGGGCAGGTGGGCACGTTGCTGGTGGAGCAGGGAGAGGGCTGCCTGGGAATGAGAATCAGCAAAATGGCATAGGTGGCAAAACTCAGATGGAAACCTACGATTTTGTAAACTGATTTTAAAAATAAAAGGAAGAACGCCGGGCGGTGGTGGCTCATGCCTCTAATCCCAACACCCAGGAGGTAGAGGCAGCCTGGTCTACAGAGTGAGATCCTGTAGCTAGAGTTTTCCTGCCTGGCCCACAGTCAGGACAAATCTCTGTCACCCGCCAGTGCCACAGCCACTCAGACCCAACCAAGTTAACACAGAGACTTATATTGCTTACAAAATGTATGGCTGTGGCAGGCTTCTTGCTAACTGTTCTTATATCTTAAATTAATCCATTTTTATAAATCTATATTTATATATATATAGATTTGGCTCGTGGCTTACCGGCATCTTCACATGCTGCTTGTCATGGTGGCGGCTGGCAGTCTCCCCCCACCCCCCACTCCTTCCTATCTGTTCTCTCAATTCTTCTCTCTGTTAGTCCCGCCTATACTTCCTGCCTGGCCACTGGCCAATCAGTGTTTTATTTATTGACCAATCAGAGCACATACAGACCATCCCACAGCAAGATCCAGGACAGGCACCAAAACTATACCCTGTCTCAAAAAAAACAAAAAACAAACAAAAACAAATAAATAAAAAAAAAGGAAGAGCCACAAGGGCTCAAATGGGGTAAACCTGAGTTCGATCCCATGGTAGAAGGAGAGAGCCAACTCCTGAAGTTTGTTCTCTGGCCTCCACACATGTGCTGTGGCCCGGGTGTGCGTGCACGGGCGCGCGCACATACACACACACACACACACACACACACACACACACACACACACACATATGTACTAAATAAATCAATGTAAAAATTTTAAAAAGGAAAATAGCTTTCATCATAATACCTTTATAAGGATTTCATTTATGTTACTCCCATTAAAAAGAAGACCAGTTAAAGAGGGGAAAGTTGATGTGAAGAAGATGGTCCAGTGGATGGAGCACTTGCCCCCCCAAGTGTGAGGGCTTGAGTTCAGATCCCCAGATCCACACGAAACTGGGCGTGGTGGTACACATCTAGCACTCCAAGGATGAGGTGGGAAACTTGAGTGTCAGCTCTCCTTGGTCAGTAGAGACTGGTCTCAAACAAGGTGGCAGGGAAGGTCTGACACCCATGCATGCTGTGGCACACCACACCCAGGCAGTTAGAGGGAGGTTTTTGTGTGTTTGTATAGTTCAGACCTTTTCACAGCTGATAGTCAAGTGATTCAGCCACTTCAGGAAATAGTCTGTCACATTTGAAAGAGTGAAACATACAGTTTCCATTTGGTCCGGCAGTACTACATCTAGCTATCCACCTGAGAGCAGTGAAGGTATGTGGCCATTCAAACATAAGAACGTGAGTATTCACAGCAGTATTGTTCACAACAGTCCCAAGTGGAAACAACCCATGAGTCTATCAGTGGTAGAGTGAGAAAACAAAATGGGGCGCATCTACATGGTAGATTGCTATTCAGCCAGGACAAAAGGTACTGTGTTGAACCTTCAGAGTGTGGTGAAGGAAGGAGCTTCCAGACACAAAGGGCTACATGCCACATGATTCCGTTTGCATAACGTAGTGGATGAGTAACTCTTCAGAGGCAGGGAGTAGTTGGAGGGGGACAGAGGAAAATGACGGCTAATGGCCTGAGGTTTGTAGGAGTGAGTAGTGTACAGTTCTGTAAATGCTGAATAGCCATTGAACTATGTTCTGTAAATAGGTAAGTTGTGTGATATAAATTATGTCTCAGTAAAGCTGCATTAAAGAGAAATTAGCTATGAATGAGATAATTCAGTTTTGGAACAATTTCTTCCTATCTCATTAGAAGCCCTGTGAGTGGATTGGGCTCTAGAGCCATAGTTACCACTTCCTTCTGTAGTATTTCCTGATTGTTGTTTCTTGTGGGTGTGACAGGATCCAGTAATGCTCCCCTTATGGTAAGTAGTGGGGCAGTGGGGGCATCAGAGATACTAGTTAAAAGTGAAATTGCTACTTTCCTCCTGTCCTGGCCTAGTTTATGTTTTTCTGTTAGCCCTGGCTAGCCTGGTTGGCCTCAGACTTTTGGCAGTCCTCTTGCCCCTGCCTCTGCTGGGATTACAGATGTGCACCAACATACGTGCCTACCTGGCTGCCTTTGCCTTCTGCTGACCATTTTGTAACCCTTTATAAAGGAAACAGAGCTGAGGCCTGGGAGTAGAGAGGTTGAAAGGTGAGACCATGGCTGCACTTAGCTGTAAGCAGGTCTTTGGCTCATGGTCAAGTGTCTGGTACAGAGCGTTGCAGTGCAAGAGGGAAGAGTAGGGCTGTAGGACCTGAGCAGTTTGGTGACACTGAATCCTTGAATGGCCTGGTGGCCAGTATCTTGAGAAGGGAATAATGGAATTTTTGTTGATATGTTTTATCATCTCCACTTAACTCACCTTTTTGCTTGATATGTTTTCATATTTCATAATCTATTGACATAGGTCTGAAGTCCGTAATGGCCATTGCTGTGTTGTTATTTTGTTTTTTGAGACAGGGTTTCTCTGTGTAATAGCCCGGGCTGTCCTAGAAATTGCTTTGTAGACCAGGCCGGCCTCCAACTCACAAAGAACCACCTGCCTCTGCCTGCCCAGTGCTGGGATTAAAGGCGTGCGCCACCGTGTCTGGCCTTGACTGTCAGTGTTTTAATCCCAAGGATTGGATGGAGTTCCAGCAGTAGGGAGAAGAGGCACCTTTTGCAGTCCTAGCATCCGATCACTCTTGACTCTGCACAGTTTATGTCATTCTGTCCTCCCAATACCCATAGCACTAGTTTTCCCTTTTGTCTCAGAGATAAGATGTGCCTTGTCCAGGGATGAAGAATTCTTAGAGGACAGCTTACCCAAAGCAGGTTTATGAGGCATACTGGAGAGGGCCTGTGATTAAAACTTACATGGACTAGAAGGGACTAACACTGGAAAGAAGGGAAATTAGGATCTTGTCCTGGGTCTCCCCATGCAGAAAGTGACCAGACTCTGGGTCAGGGCAAGACTGGGTATTAGACTACTGTCTCTGTCCACTGCTCCTCCAGAAGCCCTGCTTCTGGGTTGCAGGACTGCCTCTGCTGCAAAGCTGGGCTTGGCCTTCTTAATATACCCTTCCCCAGGGTATGTGCTCTTGAGCTCAAAGGCTCACCAGTTAGGGGGTCCAACTTTTAGCCATGGGGAAGAAAACTATCATGGGCCTTGTGTGGGTGAGAGCCCTCTATTCTGGTGCTGTGTCCCTGCCGCCCCCCCCCCCCCCATCTCTGATTCTGCATCAAGCAAGTTAGAAACCCTTGGATCATTCTGATGACCTTAGCTGGAAAGGGCCTACAGAAGACCTGCCTAAAAGGCACTTGACAGGTAAAACTCATGGGGTGGTAGTTCTGAGCTCAGTGTGGGTACCAGGCCTCATACCCTCAGACAAGGCTCCACCCTCATCCTCAGTCAACAAGATGTTGGTAAAAATGGATTCATAGAGCTACAGAGGGAAGCAAGCCAACCAGAAGTATCCAGCTGCTGCTCCAAACACTTAGTGCTAAGAAAGGAAACCTATCAAGTAGTAGGCCTTGGGTAACCAGGTGAGAAGTTGCTGTCTGCCCCAGAGCCTGCCCACCTGCGGCTTTGGGAGCAGACTGACAGTGGTTCCCTATGGAATCTGGCAATGTACAATAATAGATAGATAGGTAGATAGATAGATAGATAGATAGATAGATAGATAGATAGATAGATGTAAAATAATAGATAGATAGACAGATAGATAGATAAACCTGGCATGATATAATACATAGCACCCTGTCTGCCTTCCAGAGTGTCTGTGTTTGCGGGGTATTGGGAGGCTAACTGTCCAGGCCTTTTTTAAGAAGTCCTCTCATCCAGCCCTTCACTTCAATGGAAATCTCTCAAACCTTTCCTCTTCTGATTTTGGTTTTCTGTTCTTAATGTTGGTGTCTTAACTATGCATGTGTGCATGTGTTGATCCCTGCCTGTCAAGAAGTTTCTGCTCCTTAAAGCCCTGGCAGGTGTAGGTGGGCCTTTGAGTCTGTCTCCCAGCCTCAGAGCTAGTGTTCAAGGATGTAGCTCTACCCTTCCTGCTTCCTTCTGTCTTAAAAAACAAAAAACAAACAAACAAAAAAAAACCTTGCTCTTGAATCTGCTGTCTCGGAGACTTTTCCTCACAGATCTGAGACTAGATCTTGGCTCCCTGTTCTCCCCGGCAGTCCTCACTGAGCTGTTCTATCTTGCCCCCTCCTCCAGTGCAAGCTAGGACACGGTTCTCCAGGTAGAAGGTGAAATCCAGCTGGGTGTCCTCTAAAAATGTCCAGCTTGGCCTGCCCCACCGTGGATGGTGGGTAGGATTTGATGTTGTGAGGACGGAGGACTGAAGGAGAGGGCTGGGTACTGCTGGTGGCTGTGGGACCTGACACCCCTTTTGAGTGACTTGTTTTGTACTTGCAGCCTACCACCCTCCCTCAGGGCACCATCAACATGAACCAGTGCACAGATGTGGTGGATGGGGAGGCCCGCACAGGGCAGAAGTTCTCCCTCTGCATTCTGACGCCTGACAAGGAACATTTTATTAGGGCAGAGACCAAGGAGATCATCAGTGGGTAAGTTGCCCAGAGCCACAGGAGGTACCATCTGTTTGTTGACCCATTTCTGCGGACCCCAGGGCTGCTAGGTCTTCCTCAGAATTCTTCACTGGTTGGTGCGTCCCCCCACCCCTACACCTGTTCTCGTCCTGTGCCTCATGGGTACTCAGCTACATAGTACTGCTTATGCCTTCCCCTCAGACAGAATAAGTCCTCTTGTTTCAGGCTGTGTATTAGCCCTTTTGAGAAACATGTCCTGTGTAGCACTGAAAACTCCAGGTGATTCACATGCATGTATTTCCTCAGTGATGAACCCCATTCATCATATAAGGCTGGAAGAGGACAGGTGTGTCAAGGCTTTGGAAGAAATCAATTTGGGGTCGAAGGGAACAGGCTGCAGCACAGGGTAGAGGACATGAAGCCCTCTGGTTTAAGCAAGTACAAGGCCACTGGGAGCATTGCCTTCCTCTAGCATCAGTTGTATCTCTAGTGAAGCTTTTTAGGAAGCCAGCCAGGACTGGATGACTAAGAATTCCCCTTTTCAAGCTTCTGGGAACAGTATGGAGAAGTGCTTTGTGTGTCTTCCTGAGTTTAACCCAGAACATCAGATTTAAGGATTTCAAGGGCTTCTAATGAACCTGTGGTCTATGTCAAGGAATCTGAGGGTTGGGAGCAGGGGAGCAGTCAGGTGTGAGCAACCCTCTGTACTTCTGACTGCACCTGGTGCTACCTGGCCTGATCCAGAACACCTGTCCCCAATGAGTCTTCTTGGGGAACCTCACCTCCCAGTCTTGGATCTAGGGAAGGCCTGAGTGGCATTTGGGATTGAAAAGGGAGTCTGAGGTCCTCAGGACAAGTTGGGAGTATCTGGAACAGGGTCACTGATGCCATGTGGTTCAGAGAGTTGATATTTAGCATCTGACTGACTGATCACTTTGACAACTACCTTGGGGTCCTGGCTCCACTGTGAGCCACCTCTCCTTGGTTACTCCTCTGTTGTCTCTTCTGTCAGCATGTACCACGGGCAGCCTGCTAGGTTATTGGTTATTGATACCATGATAAACATGGTTATTGATGATCATTAACTGACCAAGATACCAGCGGCATGTGGCTTCAAAGTCCTGTATGCGGGCTAGTACTCCCGGGGATCTACGGCTTATGTGGTAGGTCAGTGGCATGGCCCTAGTTACACCAAGCCACCTGAAGCTTTTTCTCTCCACTCATTCCTGAAACCCCTCTTCTGACCCACGGAGCTGCTTCTTTAGCCTTGCACACATGCTGGGATCTTTGGTACCCATAGAAGTCAGGCATGGCACAAATGTTCCAGGAACAAGTGCTTTACCCTCACTTTCTGTCTCCTCTAATCTTGATGCCCTCTCCAAGGCTATTGTGGCTCTTCATCTGTGTATTCCAAGCCCCATTGGCCTACATGCTCTGGTTACATCAAAACCAGTTCCTAAGAAGATACTTTCACCAAACTGGATGGGGGAGAGCAGGGACATCTACCATCTACCCAACCTTCCTCCCTGCCTTTCCTCTCAGATTGACTGAAGGAAGTGGGTGGTTCATTCTCCAGTTCCTTCTTGCTGGGAGTGACTTCCTTTTCCAGAGGATTGCTCGGGGCTCATTTTTGTTCTCTGGCTCACCCAGAGGCTAGCATGCTTTCCTCCTTGCCCTGCCATCAGCTCAGCCCACTCATTCTCACTGACCTAGTTCTGCCCTCTGGAGCTGGAGAAACTTGGTACCCACCAACTTCATGTCCACTAACTGATCCCCTTCTCCTCACTGGATTCTTGTTCTTAACATTTCCAACACCTCTGAATATGCTGGATACGTCCCACTGGACTTCCTTGACAAAGTCACATGTAGCTAGGTATGGCAACACACACCTGCAATTCCAGCATTTGGGATACTAAGGCAAGAGGAGGGTCAGGAGTTCCAGAACAGCCCAACAGTCTGAGCTACATAGCAAGACCTTGGTGTGTTGTTTTAAGTGGGAGGAAGAAGGGAGAAATAGGAATGTAGACCTGCTCCATTATGCCTCAGCCCTGACAACACTAACTCTGGCCGTTAGCAGTGACCAAAAGTCCTAGGCTTCTCTTCCTTAAAAACTTCCCAAGCTCCTAGGTAGCTGAGTAGCTGAGCAGTCCAGCTCCTCTTGATGACTCCACCCTGTCAAGGTTCCTTGGTGTTGACAATGGATTGAACATAGGGGGCTTTGAGCACTTTGGAGGTTCTACAACCTTTGCCATATGCCCCACATACCTGAGGACCCTGGTGGAAAGGTAATTTTGACCTAGGATTCTAGCGAAGTTGTAGGAGTCACTCCCTTCGGCACGAATCCTCAAGTATCTGACAGAAATGTCAACTGACACGGAGTGGTTCCAAGACCCAGTCTTCCTGGAAAAAAGGATGGAGCAGGAGGATAGGGACTCCATGCACTGGGAAACCTGCCCATCTGCTAATCTTCCAGATGTAACTCCTTCCTTTCTTTGGGGCCATGGAGAAGTGACCTGAGAGAGTAGGCCTTTGGTTGTGCTCTTAGCAACTTGTGCATCCCTGGGCATGGATTGAGATGGGCTAAGTAGTCCTGTGTGTAGCAACTGTAGTTCCCTGTACAAAACTTAGCTTCCCTAGCTACCAGCTCCTAAGACTGCTCCAAAAAGCAATGGGATGCTTGCCTTCCCTTCCTGCAGCAAACCCAAATTATCGAAGCACCTCAAGGAGCCCTTCTCTTGCTCCAGGGGTACTGATAGGAATGTGGCCACTGCCATCTCTGCCTAGGCCTGGACCCAGCATGGGCCCTTGTGTTTTGTGAAGTTTGGAGCCTTGTCTCTCTTGTGGTTGGCTGCTGTACCCCACTTGGTCATGGCTGAGGCCAGATTTCAGAAGCAAGCCCTCTTATCCTTTATGTTACAGTCCTTCTGCAATTCTGAACATGCTCTCATCTAGCCACTGGTCTCGGAAATGAGATGTGCTCCAAGGGGCTAGGGTACCCAGGGCTCTGGTTAGGTAGTGGCAGTACCAGATCTGGGGTCCTAACCTTTGCCCACAGCTCTTTTTGTCTCCATGCTTTCTGTTGCTGGCCCAGAATGGCTTTCTAAAATGCAGGCTTTGATGAAGGAGCCTTGGCACCTCTGTGGCCTTGTCCAGCCCTGGGATGCCTGGCACATTTCCTGTGTGAGTAGTGGTCTGATTGGTTAGCCTGAGGTGGGTCCTGAGGTGACCCACCATGGGAACTTTGCTGATATAACTCCCAGTTTTCTCCTTTAGGCCAGTGTCTGCCCCAATAGCCCTAATTATCTGCCATGGTCTGGCTGTGCACTTGTTAAATCCAAGTCTGGGAAGAGGTTTTAAAGTTGAGACTAGGTCCTGAGAATAGGGTCAGGAATGGGACAGTGATGTCACTGCATTCCATAGTGCCTTTGGTGGACCGTGCCTCTTTGTCAGAATAGAGAAATCTTCTTGCTCTGAGCCCATGGCGGCCGTGGAAGGGTCATTGTCTAGCCTAGTGCTGATACAGCCTGTGCTTTTCCTGGCTGCTGTACTCTCGTCTGGGGTAACCTGCTCAGTGTCTGACCAGAAAGGGCACCTGTGGGATTGAGGTCTCTACCACCCCAGTAAGGCCTGGAGTCATGGACCCTGAAAGCCAGGGAGTTACATGGTGCTGCTATTTCTCCTCCCTTCTTCCCAGGTGGCTAGAGATGCTCATGGTGTATCCCAGAACCAACAAGCAGAACCAGAAGAAGAAACGGAAAGTAGAGCCACCCACCCCACAGGTAGGCTGGTTGGCATGTCCCCTAGTAGAGCTGGGCCTGGGAAGAAGTGAGGGCAAGAGGGTGGGAAAGGTCTAGCCAGGGCTCAGGTGGTCACAGCTTGCATGCCGCCGCCTCCCTCCTGCCTGTACTCTAGGAGCCAGACCACATATCATCCTCTTTGAATCACTGAGCAGAATAGCCTGCTAGAATGCCCTGGACTGTCTTCAGGAAGGTTCAGGCCAGCAGGCATATTGCATGTGTCCCTTCCCCTGCCTATCCTGTCAGCCTCTGGGAAGGGCAGAGAGATCTATTCTTCTGCCACAGCCAAAGGAAAGCAGTGGCCCTGCAGACAGCAGGCTAAGCAGCAGGGAAGGTGAGCCCTGGAGGGCCCCTGCCTTGACTCCTGTGATCAGAGCTAGGTGGCTGGGAGAGCCTCAGCAGGCCCGGTCCTTCCCTCCCCCCTCCCTCCCTCCCTCCCTCCCTCCCTCTCTCATTCCCTCCCTCCTACTAGCCAGTATTCAGGGCTCATTGGAGGAAGGGCTCTGCCCCCTTTCTCACTGTGTTCACCACACCCTTGAGCTCTGGAGGGTGAAATCACCATTCTGAATTTCCAGCAAAGGCCATTTGCTAGGGTGGTTATAGTACTTAGTGTTCATCGTTTCCCTCTCTACCAAATGTTGCCCTCACCAGGGTTCTGGCCTACATTGGATAAATCAAGCTAGTCCTAAGAATGAGCAAGATAGGTCTTCTGGGTGTCATAAAGCCAGAGCCCTGTGGAAGCAAAGAGAGGCAGCCCTGGGCCAGGCAGTCTTTGCTGGCTACTCTGGCTCCCTGGACTGCAGAAGTGAGACAGGCAGAGGCTGCTGGTCTGGGTCCCCACATCCCTAGGACTGCTGTGGACAGTTTCTCCTAGGAGGGTGCAGCCCAGGCCTACCTTCCGTTGACCAGCATCCATCCTGCATCTCATACTTACCAAGGACGCCCAAAAGGCACCTAAGCCAGCCTTCCCTGGAGAGCAATGCCCCTATAACTAGAAGTCATTAAAACATGTAATCAGAGAAATGAAAACATGCAATCAGTTTCCGGGAAACTGAAAGTAGAGCCTTCTGCTAGGGAGCAGCAGTTAATGCTCAAATCCCCCAAGCTGCCTGGTTTGAGGGGAAAAAGTCCTGGCTGAATAACAGTGGTTAGGGTTACGCCTTGTTTCTATGGTGATGCCTTGGAAACACTGCAGCACAGAGCTTCTGCCTCCAAATAAGGTAACTCCCTATGTACAGGAGACAGCCTGGGTCAGGCTAGAAATTTGGATGTGTCCCCTCCTCCATGACTTTGTCCCTTCCAAATGATGCTGCCCTGTGGCCAGGCTCCAACTCTCTAGCAAGTAGAAAGAGCCCTATGATCCCAGAACAGGGAAGTCCCTTCCCTGAGGATATGCCTCAGAACCAGGACACCAAGTTCCCAGCCTCTTCTACCAGTGTTAGGGCACTGCCTCTCCCCTTCCCCACAGCTGACCTCTGGTTGGTCTCAGGAGAGAGACAAGGACTGCATTTGGATTGAAGTCTCTGGGTACACTCCACATATACATACATAGCCTGCTGCCAGAGACATTTATGTGGCCCTTATGGTTCTGTAGATGAGCATGAAGCTCTGTTTCCACCTTTCTCCCTCCACAAGCCTAGAAGAGTTTCAGTTTAGACCACTGAGGACTAGAAGCCTTGGTTTCTGCCAGGTCCAGCTAAATTCAGCTTGATCCTGAAGAAACTTAGATGGAAGAGGTGATGGCCATCATACATATGCTCCTAAAGAGAAGGCCTAGAGTAGAGGGAAACAAGAGTCACCCAAGGCATGATGATAGCAAGAGTCCCCCAGCTCTCCCCAGGTCTGTTGCCCCCATGGACCTTGGGAGAGTGGCTCTCTTCTCTGCTAGCCCCCCCCCTCCCCCAGCCCTTGACAGAGACCTGGGCGATGCCCTTGCTCTGTATGTTGATATGTTGAGCATTCCCTGTCCTTCCCTAGGATTCTTGGTTTCTGTAGGGTCTCTGCTGCTCTGTATTTTGAGGCAGGACCCGTCCTCCTCACTGTAGCTCTGTTCCATTTTCATGCCAAAGAAGTAGAGAATGGTACCCTTCAAGAGGGAGCTTGCTCCCTTTTTCCTTAGCTCTAGAAGCCCTTCTGAGTGCCTATGATAGGAGCCAGGGTTCATCACAGTGTTAACAGCATGAACATGGCAGCTGGCTGTCTAAGGTATGGTGCAGTGAACCTAGGTGCCTGCACCCTTTGCTGACCCAGGCTAGCTCTGTGCAGTGTGAGCCTCTACTCCCCTTTGTGGCCACATCCACCCAATTAGATTTCTCATCCTTCCGCGTAGAAGAAAAAGTGAATGAAAAATAAAGAAATAAAAAGGAAAGGACATGGCTCCTAGGTATGGCAGAGGAAAGGTTATTATAGATACATGGGAGAGCACAGCCAGAGGCAGAGACATCTGGGAGAATCCAGAGTAGACATGAGCAGACTGAGTTGGGCCATGGTGGGAACAATGAGGACAGGGTGCAGCAGCTAAAGGTACAGAAGGGGCGGATAACCAAAATGGCTGGATTGGATAGGGAAGAGCTTCTGGGAGAAGGGCCACCTAGCCCCTGGGCTGAGGAAGTTTAACATAGGGGTGGGGTAGGCCAGCCATGCCCTGTAACTGGTAGGGACTGAGGGATGTGGGAGAACCTAGAAGCCAGGTCCCCTTTGATATGTTAAATAGGTACCTCAGCCATTTGTCCCAGGGTTTGAGACCTAACGAAAGGATCTTGCCCAAGGATGGGGGACCTTTACCTATCCTCTAGAAGACAGAGTATTGTTATAAAGGAGAAAGAACAAGCTCCTTTTGGTTCAGAGGTGTGGGTCAGGCCTAATTCTCTGGCATGAGACCAGATGGCAGTGGGAGGTGGATATTTATATATCACCACCTCTTCGTGGCAAGATAGTAACTGACTGAAACCATCCTCTTGGCAGACCCCTCAACAGAATGAATGGTTGGCATAGGACAAGAGTGGGTCCTGCAGGATGGCTGGGGTTCCCATCCTGTCCTCATCTGGGCTCAGCATCTAAAGAGTCCAACTCTCTGATTACTTAGAAACTGGATTTCTGTGTCTACTGAGTTTAGCCTGCCCCACGAACCCTTTTTCCTCAGGGCCATATTGCTTGTGTGCCCTAGGAAAACTGGGGAATGACTTGGAGTACCAATAAGGAACAACTTGTGCATGAGAACACGGTGTGCTTGTGACAGGTGTGGGTGTGCAGGTTGGAGTGGGATGTTGTGTGTCTCACATGATTCCTGATGATATTCACAAAGTGTCACAGACTGAAGTGCTGAAATAATAGACATTGTCTTTTCTCAGAATTCTGGAGACTAGGAAGTGCGAGGCTAAGGTGCCAGCAGATGTGGTGTCTGATGAAGGCCCACTTCCTAGTCCTCTCTCACATGGTGGAAGGAGTAAAGGAGATAGCCTGGGCCTCTTTTATAGGGTACTGATTCCATTCATGAGGAATGACTTAAATTTCCTAAAGGCTCCACCTTCACAAATCATCATCATGAGACAGGATTGTTTTGTTTTGTTTGGGTTTTTGTTGTTGTTTTGTTTTTCCAAGACAGGGTTTCTCTGTGTAGTCCTGGCTGTCCAGGAACTCTCTGTAGACCAGGCTGAGCTTTAACTCAAGAGATCGGCCTGCCTCTGCCTCCCGAGTGCCAGGATTAAAGGCATGCGCCACCACCGCCCAGCCACGGGATTGGATTTCTAATGTGAATGAACAACTGTTGAGGCCTTAGCTTTTGTCTTATTTCAGTAGCTCTTTCACATCACCCCTGGTATTCGATTTAAGCTGAAGAGTAGGTAAGACCACAGGGTGCTGTAGACTCCACTGTCTGCATTGACCCAAGTGTTCTTGATAGCCGTGGGCCTAGCTCAGAAGAATAGTCTCCTCTTTTGCTTGCCCTGGCTCCCTTTGTTTATGTCTCAAGTACCTGTGAGTATAGGAATGGCAGGCTGTAAATCACCTCCTGTGGACTCACCCTTAATAACTGGGCTGCTGTTCTAAGCACTGTTTGACAATATACAAAGAGCTTGGTGACATGGCTCTGGTAGAAACCACGGACCTTCCCTCTGCAAGGTCCCTTGGACAAGGCACTATGGGGCCACAGAGAACAATCAAGAAAGAATGGCTTCCCATCCCCCAACACTGTTTTACTAGCCTTGTGTTCCTTGTAACATAGCAGCAGGACCTATGAGCTAGCTTGGGCTGTGTGCTCACATGCTGCCGCCCCTCATTGCTGTCTCTCCAGGAGCCTGGCCCTGCTAAGATGGCTGTCACGAGCAGCAGTGGCAGCGGTGGCAGTGGTAGCAGCAGTAGCAGTATTCCCAGTGCTGAGAAAGTCCCTACCACCAAATCCACACTCTGGCAGGAGGAAATGAGAGCCAAAGACCAGCCTGATGGGAACAGCCTGAGTCCAGTTCAGAGTCCCAGCCAAAGCCTGCCTCCTGCTGCTTGTACCCCACGGGAAGCAGGGCTAGAAAACAAAGAAGGTGAGTAGAAGCTGACCAGCCTGTGAACCTCCTTGTTGTGGTGAGCCATCTGGTACTGCTGGAGTGGGCTTCCTTCCAGTGGACAGGAATGACACTGGGGATGTGATACAGGTGTCCTGAACTTTTCTTCCCTCTGCATATCAGTTCTGGGCAGCACTGGCCTGGCATGACTGGGTTCCTGGCCTGTGAGCTTCAGCTTGGCTTCTCTACCCCACCTATGAAGGGAAAAGGTGTGACACCTGCTCTGTTGGCCTCAGGAGAACTTCAGACACTGCTCTGCCTCTGTGAGGAGGCCTCTGTTCCTGTGCCGCAGTCCCGACTACATTAGCTCTTAGAACCCACTAGGTTAGGTGCCTCCTGTCTTTAGAGAGCTAGCAGTTAGGGCAGTACTGCCCCTCTCCTCATCATTATCATCTTGTTCAGCCCCTGGCTAGGAAGAAGGGCCAGGGAGGAAGCCATTGACATCACTGTGCCCTCTCCACTTAGTATGCTGTGATGCCCCAGAAGATCTAACGCTTTCATCTCGCCCTCCCTCCATCTGAGTTCTTCAGTGTACACACGAATGCACATTTAAAACCCTTGTGCTCCATCTCATGCCCACCAAAGCCCTCCTCCCTGCCTCGAAAATGTACTGAGAGCCTGAAAGGTGTCTTGTTTGTTGGTTTCTTCCTGTGGTCTGGTAAGAAACCATTGGTTAGGATGGAGTCCTGCTTCCCCACCAGAACTGGATGCAGAAGGTCTACTTGTGAGTCTGACTGCAAGTGACCAGACTGGAGGAGAGGGTAGGGAGGAGAGGGTAAGGGAGAAGAAAGGAGGAGAGGGTAGGAAGGAGAGAGTGGGAGGAGAGGGTAGGAAGGAGAGAGTGGGAGGAGAGGGTAGGATGGAGAGAGTGGGAGGAGAGGGTAGGAAGGAGAGAGTGGAAGGAGAGGGTGGGAAGAGAGGGTAGGAGGAGAGGGTAGGGAGGAGAAGGTAGGAGGAGAGGCAGCACAGATGGATAATCCGTTTCTGCCTACAGTGCCCTCCTTCCACCTCTACCCCAGTTCATAGCTGTGGATTGTAAAGGTGGAGAGTGTTGAGACAGCTCCTAGTTGATCATGTATGGACTTTTGGAACATTTTCATGACAGAACTAGCAGCAGTCTGAGCAAGCTTCCTCTTCTCTTCCAGATGAAAGCACCATGAGTGGGGACCGTGTGGATGGTGGTCGGAAAGTACGGGTAGAGAGCGGCTACTTCTCCCTGGAGAAGGCCAAGCAGGACCTGAGGGCTGAGGAGCAGCTGCCCCCACCACTGTCCCCACCCAGCCCCAGCACCCCACACAGCAGGTATGGTTGTCCTGGATCGCCTTCACAGGAACTCGGCCACCCCCTTCATTCCCCAGGTCTTCCAGCCCTAAGCCGCATGGTCTACAGCATCTGCCCTGACAGCCTCGGTGAGGCCATCAGGCCACCCAACCACATGGACTCCAGCAGTGCTGGGGGGTGGGGATCAGAGATACTGGGGAGCACCTTTGCCTTTAAAGCCAGCAGGCAGTATGCCGCCCTGGCCGACGTCCCTAAGGCCATCCGGATCAGCCATCGAGAAGCCTTTCAGGTGGAGAGAAGGCGGTTGGAGCGTAGGACTCGGGCCCGGAGCCCTGGCAGGGAAGAGGTGGCCCGTCTGTTTGGCAACGAGCGGAGGTAAGGAGGACGTTAGAGGGCTAAATTCATGTACTCGTACATACATAACACTCACACAAGTGTACCTCAGGAACATGATTTCTGTTCAGTGTATGGAGCACTTTCTCTCTGGGCCTTGGACTGTGGCACCAGTTTTCAGCTCTTGGCACCAGATACAGGACTAAGTGCCTGCGGGCTAGCTGCTCTAGGTTGATGCTTCCCAGATCAGGCCCTGTGTGGCTGAGTCTTACTCTTCTTGGCCTGCTTCTGTTCCCTGAGAAGACTCCCAGAGCTGCAGGTGGGGACCAGGCCCTCCTCATGCTGGCAGGAGTGAGAGGGCAGCACAGGTCTTCCCACGAGGACACAGAAGGCAGCCTGAAACTCTTCCAGGTGTCCCAAATCCACTCTTGCCCTCTGGGCTTTGCTGACGTGGCTTCCCACCAGTGACAGAGACGTAGCACTTCCTGCTGCAAAGATAAGGCTCCTGCCTGTTCTTCTCCTGCCCTGCTGTCCCCAGCTTGGAGCTTGAGGACCAGGGAACATTCTCCTGTGCCCACTCCATCCACCCCTAAATTCTCAGCCACATCTGTGAGCTGGGTTTTGTGTTCCTGCCAGGTTTCTTGCCTAACACCAGACAGGTTTTCTAGTGCTGCCCCCAGGAGAGGGAGGCTTTCTTCAGGTTTGCACAGAGGTTCTCTGTTCAGAAAGGCAGCTCCAGAACTATCCGAGTGCAGGCTGAAGTTCAGTCAAGGTTAGGAGTAGGATGAGACTGGGGAGGACTTTGTTTCTCTTGTCCCCTTTCTGACACCCAACCCAGCTGGTTCAAATGGCTTATGGACCCTCAAGTAGAGAGTGGGCACTGAATGCTACATGGCTCCCTGGCATTCCGTATAATTAACTATCTTCACAGTCCAATAGTGGCCCAATAAGACACCTATTACTTTTGATTCATGGATGTGAAAACTTGAGGCTCCAAAATTGGGTGACTTCCCACCCTTCATGATGAATAATAGCAAATGGTGGGCCTTTAGCAAGAAATCCTATCCCATGACAGGACCCAAGACCAGAGCTCATGATGTCCTTTTAAGCATTTAGGATAACAGAGGTAAAAAGTCTTGCTAACAATTACGGAAGCTTGCAGGATGGGCGGGGGAGGGTTTGCACTGGCTAGTGGGCAGGATGTGATCTGGTGGTTCCAAAATGGGGTCGGCTATTCCTTAAAGTTAGTGCCAGGCCAGAGTTAACATTTTGCACACCTGCTTGGCTAGGCCACTTGTCAGAGAAGTTAATTTTGAATGCATTCTTGCCTACCTGCCAGAGATAGATGCAGTCTCAAGGCTTTATTCCTGCATGTTCTTTGCCACTGTGGGGATGGGTTTCAGCTGGTGGTGGTACCCGGACTACTTCTGCACATTAACCCTCTAACTATCCCTCTCTGAATGATCTCGCTGGTTGGTGTTGCTCTTTGAGGACTGTTCTCTGAGGCCCAAGTAATCCACCTGGTGCTGGACTGGAGCCTTGTCCCTGATAGGTTAGAGTGACAAGATGTCAGCCTCTTTGCATTGAGTGGTAGCTGAGACAGACCTGCCACACAGCCAGGCAGTTGAAACCACAAAGTCAGTTCTGGAAAACCTTAGTAAGCCGGTAAGCAGCCCCGCCTGAGAGCAGCAGCAGCTCTGAGCTTAGAGTTTGCTCTTCAGATTTCAGAGCCTTTAAAGGAGTTCTTAGACAGTTCTTAGGCCCGTGTCTGCTAAGTGTGGGGAAGCTATGGCTCTTATAACACTGTTAGTGACTAACAGAAAACAAGCCCCACCCTCATGGAACCCTGGCCCCTCCACCTTCCCCTGCGAGATCTATACCTATCAGTTCCACCTGAGTGCGGCACTTTCTGTCACATCTCTGTTGCTTCCAAAACACCAACTTAGCAACAGAGAGCCAGTTAGTTACACGGAAGTTGCCCAAGCCTGGTGTCACAGCAGCTCCTGGCACCCGTGTCAAGCAGCTATGGCAAGTGCCTCCTATTTTTCATGCTGACTACTCTGCTTGGAACCCTACAAACCCATATCATGTATGCCAGCCTGGCCTGCACAGGCCTCCTGCTACTCTGGGGCCTGAAGTCCGCTAGCCAGATACAGTACTCTCAGTCCCAGAAGAAGCAGTAGCCCCAAGAGCTATGGTAGCCAGATCTTCCTGCAGCAGTCTGGCTGTGCAAGACCCCTTGGCTGCACTTCACCAGCTGCTTAGCCTCCTGCTCTCCCAGTCAGCCTCCTCACCTCAGCCTCTGGGCACAGCAGGCTAACCCTCACCAGGCTTCTAACAATGCTGAGCATGCAGGCAGAGCACCCAGAAGCCCTCCAAAACCCTGGCTGCCTGCCCTTGGCCTCTTGACTCCCTTGAGGAAAAGGCCTCTCAAGGTAGATTTGCACCTGGGTTCTAGGCCATATTCTTCCTCTTGCTTATTAGAGGTTTTAGTCTCCTGGGAGGAACCTTTATCATGTCCCCTTAGCTCTTCAGCACTTGTTCAGAACATGTCATGCCTGCCCTCATTGTGAGGGAGTAAGGTGTCCCTAGGAGAGCAGGCCTCAGGTTTGGTGAGAAGGGATTGCCCTCCCATCAGGTTGAAGTCAGCTCCCAGACCCCAGATAGGCAGCCCAAGCCTTCTGCCTAAAGTCCACCAAGGTGACTCCTGCAGCTATGGGGTGATCATGGGTTTTCTTTCTTCAGCCGTTCCCTTGGGGTTTTGCTGCTTTAATTCTTTAGATGACTTTGTTGACCGTGATTTGAATGTGAAAAGCAGTCCTTTTCTGTTCATTCATTTCCCAGCCTTGTTTTCTTTCAGGTCTTGCCCTCTCCACCCTCTGCTGTGTCACTGTGGCGTTCGCGCCGCCTCCTCCACCCGCTTCGCTTCCATCTCAGCTCCGTCGTCTCAGCCGCAGACCACCTGACGAGGCCGCTGGCCTTTCACATGAAATCAACTGCTTTGTTTTGTTTTGATTTTGATTTTGATTCCTTTTAATGTTAGCAGAAACTGTTCATTCATGGGCCTTTATCTTGCTAAATTTTGAACACCCCACGTGGGGTGCCATGTGTTCGGAGGTGGTGGTTGACCTTTATTATGTCTGACTCAGGGAGGTTACCAAGGTATCAAGCTGTATGAGTCCAGTGTTGGGGCAGGGCCAGTGCAGGCCCAGTGTGGAAGGATTCTGTTGCTGCTCCACCCCACCACGGAGTGGGGGACAAATGGAGCTCAAATAGACTGAATCTGTGCCCAAAGTCCTATTAGTACTTTGTGAAGGGTGCCTCACATGCCAGCAGGAAGGCTAGCACTGGAGCCCAGTGAGGTAGGCCAGGTGTGCAAGTTGACTACAGGACCAACCCCACTGGACTTGAGACCCAGCCCACCTGGGGACAGGGAGACTGGTTTAGCAGCTTCGTGTCCTCTTTTGTAGGAGGTCCCAGGTAATTGAGAAATTTGAGGCCTTGGACATTGAAAAGGCAGAGCACATGGAAACCAACGTGCCGATTATGACCACTCCATCAAGTGACACTCGTCAGGGCCGCAGTGAGAAACGGGCCATCCCTAGAAAGCGGGTGAGCTCCAGTGTGGGGCTAAGTGGGGCCTTTGGCAGCATGGCTTGGGTCTGGGGAACACACTATCCTACACGCTCTGAGTCCCATACATACCAGGGACATGTTTCTTCTGGGCCTCCACACTTCAGTCTCCTCCAGTTAGCCTCTTGAGCACCAGCCTGTCTTCCACATCTCTCCCTCCTGCAGCATCAGCCTCTGTGCCACAGGATGCTTCAGTGAGTTTTAGATCCCAGTTGCTAGCACAATTTCTGCCCACTGAGACCACCCGGGAACAAAGCCGAATATGACACCTTCTTTCCTTCTTTTGTTTTTGGAGTGGCAAGCTGTACCCTCATTCTCTGCTTGACCCGCAAGGTCCATCAGACCACAGCAGTCCCCCTCCTCCTAGACTCCTCCAGCCTCTTGTCCACCTGCTTCTTCTGTGGCCTGCTGTACCCAAGTCCTTCTTTCCGGTTTCTTTGTTGCTCATGAAATGCCTGCTCTCTTCTTCTGTAACCTGAGAAGCTGCAAAATTGGGTAGGGCCAGGACACTGCTGACCAGAAAAGGCTGCTCCACTGACCAAAGCATGCCAGGACATGGGTCATCCCAGAGCCTGCTGTGGGGCCTAGACAGCACTGCCCCACTCAAGGAGGGATGAACTACCCAACTTGTTGCCCCTATGCCTGCCCAAACTGCTCTGGGCTATACTGATGGGTGGCTGCTCTCTGCCACAGGACTTTGCCAGTGAAGCCCCCACAGCTCCTCTCTCAGATGCTTGTCCCCTGTCTCCACACCGAAGAGCCAAGTCATTGGACAGGAGGTCCACAGAATCCTCCATGACGGTGAGCCCAGGCCACGTGCCAAGTTCTCTGGAGATCTGTGCTACTACCACTGCTGCTTCTGGCCACTCTGGGCCACTGTCCATTTATGTCTATATGTCCACACCGGTCTTCCCTCTGTACCACCCTCATGCCTGTGACGTGCCCCACCCACTGGTCTGCAACCCATTGGAAACTGACCTTTCTTCCCCTCAGGGCCCGCAGGACTGGGGGCTGTGTGGCACTCTGAGTAACACATGAAGGTCTCTGTACACAGGAGGCTGCTGGGACAGGGCAGGTGTAAAGCCCAAACTTGACTTCTGCTGTCCTGCTTTTGGTGTTTATTTTTGTGGCACTTTGGAACAGGAGCCACGTGGTAATGACAGTTTGACCCGTCTGAGGGTATGTACAGGAATGAAGCTGCAGACACAGTTCGGCCTGGTTCCTCAACGGTCTACAGCCTCCCAGGAGACATGGCACACTCACCAGCTCTCATCCCCCAGACAGAGCAGTTTCTCTATCAACTCAGCTGGTAGCCACTCTTCCTGGCAGCCACCAGAGGCCCAGAGAGGAAAGACCCACAGGGACCGACCTCCACCATTCCCCGAGGCAGGCACAACAGCAGTGACAACCACTGAAGGTTTAAGAGGCTTTCATAGATCCGCAGCTCATCAGGGGAGCCAGAGAGGCAGTGAGCAGACCTGCATCCCAAGTCTCTTGGAGCAGCAACAACTATGCGCAGCAAAAAGGGATCTCCTTGTGTATAGGTCTCTGTGCTGGGGCAGCCTAAAATGTCTCCATTTCTGTTGATACTTCAAACAATTCTTGTAGAAGGAAGTCTTGTGAAGCTTGGGTTACAGCAAGGCTCCACAGAGGGATGCCTCGTCTACCATGGTCTGTTGGGGCAAGGCTGGAGTCTACTGTGGCCTCTCCACAATGGAGCAGGAACTCCCAGGATGCCTGTCCTGATTGTTGTCATTTCTCTGGATCACTCCCTGTTCTTGGAGTAGTAAGAGACATCAAAGCCAGTTTGTGATCAGGACAGCTGTGGAAGACCTGAGAGCGATGGGGACCACAGAAGGGGTGGCTGGGGTCTTCGAGGCCTGGCCTTCCAGATGTGCTATGTAGCAGATGAGAGCCGGCCCCCAGCAGAATGCAGGCTGCTCCTAAGGAGAGCCAGCACCTACTCAGGTCTGCTGTGGTCCTTGACCTACCTTCCTGGATAGGGAATAAGACTGAATGAACTTCCTCCTGGTAGAAGAGTAACCTGAAAGTTGGACAAGGTTGCTGCTGCTACTTTCTCCACCACAGACATGGTCTGCCTCTCAGGCTTCTGGCCTTCAGTCCTTCTGCTGCCTCAGTGGGAGCTTTTGGATTCCCCTCTCAGCTGTTACTGAGGTGTCCCCCTGTACATTCAGTGCCTGGGAACTCTTCATCGGGTCCTGTGCTGTGCTCCAAGGCAGGATGCACACAAACAAGCCCTGGATAAGCTGGAATAGAGACCTCAGAGCAACCAGGCAGCCTGTGTTCCTGTGCTCAGGTTAAATGAGGCTGTGCTATCTCTCCTTACCCCTGAGCTCCCTCCTCAGGGATATATATGCCTCTGGGCAGGAATGCTGGGGCAAAAGAATGGGCAGGCTTATCTGGTAGGTGGTAAAAACAGTTTCTGGTGATGCTTCATCTAGATAAAAACAACCCGGTTGGACACATTTTGTCCATCACAGGGGACCCCACGATGCTTTCCCTTGAGCTGTTCTTTTTTCTTCCTCAGCCTGACCTACTGAATTTCAAGAAAGGCTGGCTAACCAAGCAGTATGAGGATGGCCAGGTGAGTGTGTGTAAGTGCTGAAGCCTGGAGGACTAGGGAGCAGATGCACGTCCCAGCTTCTCCTGTCCCTGGCAGGGTCTTTGAGCCCTGATTCATGCCCTTGGCCTGCAGACATCCTACAGTCCCAGCTCCTGGATATGATTGCTCATAAAAGTTCCCTTAAGAGTCTAGTTCCCCAGAGGCAAGAACAGCCAGCATATGGCTATGGGCTGGCTTATGTGTCCATACAAGGCAGGCATATGGGCAGTCACATAGGGCTGCAAAACCCTGGTGTTGGAGAGACCAGCTCAGTTTTAGGGGCACCATTAGGCCCTGAGAATTGTATATCAAGTCCAAACAAGAAGAGTTATTTGCAAGCCCCACTTTGACCTGGAGCATGTCCTTGCCGTAGAGGCCCTTAAAAACCCACTCTGCTATCTTAGCTCTTTTTTGCCTTTGGAGACTGTGCCAAAGCATCCCCCTTTTCTCCTCCCACCATATCAAATGCCCTTGGCCTTGCCTGAAGACTCGAGTTCCCTTCCTCAGAGTGAAGATTGGGACTTTAGCAGGTTAGTTTGTACCTGCTGGCACAGTGGGGCTCACACATCTGGTCTATCAGCCAAGTGGTTGTGCCTCTGAGCACCCTTTCACAGCCACCTTTCTGTGTGATAGACCCAGCAGAACTATCTGCAGCCTCTGAAGTTAGGATGGAGGCCTGCAAAACACCATTCACCAACCACACGGGGGCACAGAGCTGGCCGAGGCCCACAGTTCTCCACTGCCTCATTGCTGGAGTGCGTCTTAACCAGGACCTCCCTGAGGTCATGAGTGCATGGCTGCCTGCCAGAACAGTCATCTGTTGCCTGCTTTACCTGTGCTCTCCAGAGTGCCCAGACTCCGCTGGGGTCAAGGAGGGGCATCCGGTATGTTACAGAATAGTTGGATGTTTCTTTTTCTCTCCTTTAGTGGAAGAAACACTGGTTTGTCCTGGCTGATCAGAGCCTGAGATACTACAGGGATTCCGTGGCTGAGGAGGTGAGAGAGCCACAAGGCAAAGCGGTAACTAAAAGTCCAGGGCTGAAATCTGTCTGTGAAGAGCTCTCCATCATAGTCTCCATCTAATGGGACAGTGCATGCAGTTGGTCCAGCTTTGACAGCAGGACTGTTTCACACCTCAGACATTGAGGTCATCCTCTGAAGCCTTGAATGCCTTTTTTTTTTTTTTTTTTTTTTTTTGGTTTTTCGAGACAGGGTTTCTCTGTGTAGCTTTGCGCCTTTCCTGGAACTCACTTGGTAGCCCAGGCTGGCCTCGAACTCACAGAGATCCGCCTGCCTCTGCCTCCCGAGTGCTGGGATTAAAGGCGTGCGCCACCACCGCCCGGCTTGAATGCCTTTTTTTGGTTTTTTTGGGGGGTTGTTTTGTTTTTGGTGCAGTGGCTTTTGGCAACTCTGTTTTCTATATTCATTTAAGAACAATGAAGTGGGACTGGAGCGATGGCTCAGTTGTTAAGAGAATGCGTTTTTGTAGCAGACCTAGGTTTGGTTTCCACCACCCACATAGTGGCTGGCTCACTACCATCTGTAACTCCAGTTCCAGGGATCTGATGCCCTCTTCTGACCTTCATGGGCTTCAGGCACACATGTGATACACAGGCATACACGCATGCAAAATACTCATTCAAATCTAAAAAAAAAAAAATTAAAATGAAGGTAGTACTCAGGGTGAACTCGGGTCTAGTTTTGTTTTGTCTTTGATTTTTAGCAAAAGGATTGTGTGATGAATTGAGTCACTGGACAGATCAACTTAGATCTTGTTCTGCCTTGTGGTAGAGGAACTTACATTAAAAAAAATCAGTGTGTGTGTGTGTGTGTGTGTGTGTGTGTGTGTGTGTGTGTGTGTGTGTGTGTTGGGGCATAGGGAAAACACTGTGCTGTGGGACACCAGTGGTGTGTGTGTGTGTGTGTGCGTGTTGGGGCACAGGGGAAAACACTGTGCCATGGGACCCAAGTGGAGGTTGTGGGACAACTTGAAGGAGTCAGTCCTCTCCTTCTGCCATGTTGGTCCTAGGGATGGACTTAGCAGCAAGCACCATTATCTGATGACCCACCACCCCTAGAGGAACAACCAGAAGGGGCTCTTTTCCTCACTTAGCAAAAGTTCTTTTGAACAGCCTGACAAATCTGTGTGCTGATTTCTCCCTGCTAATTCCATCTGGCGTCCTTCAGAATCACCCATTCCGTGCTTGAATAATAGAAACAGGAAAAGAATCTCTTGGGCTAGTTTGCATACTTAAATTCTTGAGATCAGCTTCCATGGCCTAAAGAGGAAGGCTGTTGGTCAGATAGGCAGGTGCAGATTGTGTGAGTGGTGAGCTTGGAGCAAAGGGGTACCTAGTACTCAAAACTATGGATTGGGAGGGGAGTGTTTTGGTTTGGATTGGATTGGTTTTGGTTTTTCGAGACAGGGTTTCTCTATGGGTCCTGGCTGTCTTGGAACTCACTCTGTAGACCAGGCTGGCTTCAAACACTCTGAGATCGGCCTGTGTCTGCCTCCCGAGTGCTGGGATAAAAGGTGTACACCACCACTGCCTGGTTTAAAACTTTGTTTTTGTTTGTGCCGCAGCATGGGTGTAGAGGTCAAATTGTAGGAGGAGTTAATTCTCTCATACCAAGTAGGTTCCAGGGCTTGCACTCAAGTCATCAGACTTGCTCGTTAGCACCTTTCCTTGCTGAAGTACCATCCTCTAGAGTAGTATTTAGTGAAATGTGTTGTGAGAGTCAAAACTGTGCTGCTGACAGAACTGTGTTGATATAACACTGACGACACAAAAGCAGAATTAAATAAAACAACCAATGCCTTGGCAATAGGCCAAAGTCAGATTGTACCAACAGTCAATGGGCTTGTATTGCTTTCCAGTCAATGATGTTTGAAAGCAACAAAATAGGCCCTTGATTGTTTGATTGATTGATCTATATGGTTATGTATATATATTTGGTATATATACATATATTTGGTTTTTAAATTTTTTGTTATTTTTTTATTTTTGGTTTTTCAAGACAGGGTTTCTCTGTGTGTAGTCCTGGCTGCCCTGGAACTCTCTCTGTAGACCAGGCTGGCCTGGAATTCACAGAGATCCACCTGCCTCTGTCTCCCAATTAAAGGTGTGTGCTTGGTATTTTTCAGTGGCAGCCTTTGAATGCTCATCTCTTTAGTATTCTTTTTTAACTTTTATTATTACGTGTGTGTGTGTGTGTGTGTGTGTGTGTGTGTGTGTGTGTGTGGCGGGGGAGGGCATGGGTACACACATGCTCTCTTGTGGAGGACATCAGAGGATAACTGGGAAGTCAACTCTTTCCTACTGCCTTTAAATGTTTTCTGGGTATGGAACTTGAGTCATCAGGTTGTGTGGAAAGCACCTTTACCAGTTGTCCCTTGCTATCCCCTTTTTATTGTTCCCTAAATGGGAAATGTCTGTCAGTCACTCAGCAGCATGCCAAAGCCTTATGGAAGCACATCCGTACAATTACTGAGTTACAAGCTGAACTAACCACTTATTTGTAGAATATCATGTGAAGAAACAGCTGCCAGATGAGCTCTGGTCACTCAGTTTGGAGGGTTTAGCAGGCATTTTCATGAAGATAAACCAGGAATCTGTTCCCTCAAGGACAGTTTGTTGCCAATGATGAATAGAGTTTGGGCTTTCAAGAAAAAACTAGTTGGGCTGGAGAGATGGGTCCACAGTTAAGAGAACTTGCTACTCTTGCAGAGGACCACATAAGGGTTCACAACTACCTGTACCTACAGTTTCAAGGGATCCCACACCACTTACTGGAAAGCACTCCTCACCCATGGTATCCATATAGGCATTCAGATAAAATATTCATACATATTTTTTTTTTTTAAATCTTTTCAAAGAAAACCTAGTCCAGGCACAATGATGCATATCTATCTGTAGTCTCTGCCACTCAAGACGCTGATGCAGGGAGGTCACATGACCCAAGAGTTTTGAGACCAGCCTAGGCAGTGAACAGAGACCTGGTATCAAAAAAAGAAAGGGAGAATTTTGGAAGATTCATATTCAAATAGCCTCAGTAGCTTCTCTTTATCTTCAGGCTCTGCTGATGAAATAGGCAGTGGTTTAGCAAGCACTTTGCTTCTGCACAATGAATTGTATAGACATTTGAAAGCTATGCATAGCTTGCTGTTTTCTGTGACCAATATTTAATGTTACAGAACATGCCTGGCAAAAGAGATACTCAAAGGGTAGGACTGTGGATTTCAGTGTTAACAGCACAGAACGTTCAATGATAGGACTGCAGATTCCACATTGCAGTTAAGCTTTGAGACGTGGCTATTCATCACTGAAGACCAGCTAGTTCCTTGAGAATTCTTCCTCTTCCATCTCTGTGTTACTACTTTGTCTTCACTCATGTTAGTTTGCTGAAATAGTACTTAGAAAACTGAATGCAGATGGAGAAGAGCCTAGTATCGTCTCCAAGTCAGGCATGTAAGAGACCTGCAGAAATGTAAACACTGTCACTCTAACCAGTAATTGTTAATCATACCTTGATTTTTTTTTTTTTTGGTTTTTCAAGACAGGGTTTCTCTGTGTAGCTTTGCGCCTTTCCTGGAACTCACTTGGTAGTCCAGGCTGGCCTCGAACTCACAGAGATCCGCCTGGCTCTGCCTCCCGAGTGCTGGGATTAAAGGCGTGCGCCACCACCGCCCGGCCATACCTTGATTTTTTAATCATATTTTAATTTTAACTTGGAAAGGATTTACTATGTAGCTCAAACTAGCTGTAAACTCATAGCACTCCTCCCTAGCCTCCCACGTGCTTGAACTGCAGATGTGGATCACCACACTCAGCTTTTATTAAAATTTTCCTTAAGTGAATAAATAATGTTTAAAATCTCCAATTTTTAATACAGAAACTATCAATAGGTGAGCTCCACATACACAAAACTCTTAGAGTATGTTTTAGTTTACTTTCTGCTGTAATAAGCATCATGACCTCCAGCAGTCTGGGGAGGAAATCTTACAGTCTATAGTCCATCACAAAGGGAAGTCAAGTCAGGAACTGGAGGTAGGACTGAAGCAGAGGCTGGAAGAACACTGCTTAATGGCTTGCTCTCTCTGGCTTACTCAGCTTGTTTTTCTTATACCACCCAGGACCACCTGCAAGGGTCAAAGTGCCCATAGTGACTAGGCCCTTCCACACTAGTCAAGAAAACACCCCACAAACTTGCCTATAGGCAATCTGATGAGGAAATCCCTCAGTTAAGAGTCTCTCTTCCAGATGACTTGGTGTATGTCAAGCTGACAGAAATCCAGCCAGCACAGAGGGTCTTCTTACTTTTTAAGCATGTGAAAAAATTGTAATGATAGACATTCAGGGAATACTGGTGTGGAATTTCTTTGGCCAGATACACAGGGAAATGGTGGCGTAGATACCCCCAAGGAAGGGGACTTGGATCTGGGAGTTGTAGGAAAATCAGTCAAGACCTAGTCCTATGAACACCTTCCGTGGAAAACATCACTCACAGAAATTTGATCCCTTGAGCATCCTCTCTGCCTGAAGCTCTTCACACCCTCTCACTTTTCTCTGCAGGCAGCTGACCTGGATGGGGAAATTGACTTGTCCACCTGTCATGATGTCACCGAGTACCCAGTCCAGAGAAACTATGGCTTTCAGATACATGTGAGTCTGGGGGTGGATGGAGTTGACCGACAGGGTTATATTTTAACATGTGTGGTAAGCATTCAGTCTTTCCTGTATTCCTAATATATGATGTGGACAAAAAGATGGTTTTCTACATCTTTCTCCCCAAGGCTTTTGAAAGACTTTGCTACAGAAATTGCTCTTTTTCTTTTCGTTTTAATGTTGGAGTATATGACCATTGGAAGGATGAAGAGTGTGGGGAGTAAACGATTAAGGGCTGCCTGGAATTAGGTTAAAGAATTTCTGGGACATTTGCCTTCTGCAGTGAGGCTTCATACTTGTTATAGTCAACTGGGTTACATTTAGTATCCATCTCTAAGCACAGGTTCATGGTTGGCGTTTGTTCTTTCTGATGCAGGAGTCTGCCCCTTATATCATCTCGTCACTATCACTACCACGTGGGGGTCCTAGTCATTCAGATTTCTGGACTTGTAAGCCATGTCTCTGGAGCAAGACAAAGCCAGCTCCTCCATTAGAGCAAACCTTTGTAATCCCTCACTTTGAAGGGATGGCAGGTAGAATAGGCTCTAGGATTTGACTTCTGGCTCAAGGCTGGAATTCTGGTGGGCTCACTGGGGAAAAGATCTTTTTGATTTGGGGATCAGAACTCAACTTACTGCTGTGTTCAGTTGTTCAGACAACTCAAACTTGGGACCAGTCCACACCCCTGGCCAGTAGATTTGATCTTCGGAGGAGTCTAGCACCCGTTCCTGGGCAACTGACCATGGCTCCACTGCCCGTACTGGGTATCTGGGGAAGGAGCCATAGCTGTTCCCATGGCCTGGCTTCTTGCTGCCCAGCTGCCGTGTTCTGTCCCTATTCCCTTTGAAGGAGATAGAGCATTCCTGGAGTCTGAATGCTGAGATGAACCTTTTTCCCAGTGAGAGTCCTGGCTCTTCCCTCATCTTCATCTTGATTAGCAGATGTCTCAAGGCAGTGATTGCACAGTCTGAGAACTCTCTTCTCTCCCCACATTAGCCAAGGCCAGTGGTGGGTCTGGTTTCTTACCCTGAGGGTTCAGAAGAGTGTGCTAATGCCGAAGGTAGGTGATGGGTAGAACCTGAGAATAGCAAATGTATGTCAGGGCAAATACTGTCTCAAGGCGTGGAAAGCACTGACTACTTGTGGACACCAGGAATGTGCCTTAGTTAGTAAGATATATAGGGCAGAACTTGCATGAGGGACAGGAGCAATTAGAAGGGAGACCAAGAGGTAGTAGTTGTGTGGTTGGCAAGTATGGAAGGAGGGTCTGAAGATGCCAGGGAGGAACTTTGAATGAGGTAGGACCTGAGAGCCCCTGCAACCCATGGTGTGTTGAAGGGTTTCATATACACTGCTCAGACAGAGCCTGCACAGTAGAGGTGGATCCTCTGCAATCCTAGCCAGCAGGTTTGAGGCAGTGATTGGTCTTTTGAGAGCATGAGCTAGGTAAGTAGCCCTGAGACTAAGAAAGCTTACCAGCAAAGCTGAGGCCAGAACCTGGAAGCACCTGTATCAAGGGTTGAATGGGCTAGCTAAGAATGTGGATGGAGCCCCATGCTACTGTTGACTCCACGGTTGTATTCTCTGAAGGGGAGTGGGCCAGGTGTGTGACAGCCTACCACGGAGGGAGAGGTTGAGTCACAGCACAGTGGCCCACATGTTGTCTATAATTGCATCTCGTTCCCTTTCAGAGCAGGTAGAGACCCAGGCAGTCGCTTTGTCACACTGTGTACCTATGTTGAGACTGCAGGATGATGGGCCTGGCCACCACTCTCCCTACTCCCAGCCAGATCTGTGTCCTTGTCCCCAGGGCTAGCAGAGCTTCTTGAGGAGAGGGACACATGTGATCATCAATCTGTGTGCAGGCTGCTGCTACTGCGTAATAGGAGCTAATGATTGTGTATTGCCTTGTTTAGGGAACACCCAGTGCACCACTCCCCCAGAGTGTGACCCTATTAGTCTGCCTGTTTCGAACAAGTCATATACAACACTCCTAGGAAATTCACCTAGCCTGGCCCTTTTCCTTGTGGGCTGACCACTGATGGTTAGTATTTTTTGTGTAGACCAAGGAGGGTGAGTTCACCCTGTCGGCCATGACATCTGGCATACGACGGAACTGGATCCAGACCATTATGAAACATGTGCTCCCAGCATCTGCCCCAGATGTGACCAGGTAAGATGGAGGCCTTGCTAATTGGCATTCCCTGAGGCCTGAGCCCAGCTCCACTACCACATGAATTCCTTTCCTCCTTCTGGCCCACTGTCAGCTGACTGCATTTGTCCCCTGTGATTCTTGTTTGCTGCCTCTGCTGGCCTTTCTTCTGTTGAGCTGGCCTAGTCCGCCACACAGGTCACCCTCATGCCTATCCTCAGCATGGATGTCTTTGTCAACAGGGTTCAGCCCTCAGGATGGGCTTGGGCTCCACTATGGGCTTTCTCTAGTGGCTGTGCCCTGACTGTGTGGAAGCAGCCTCAGCTGCCCTGTAGTTTTGCACTTACTCAAGAGTCCTTTTATCTCACTCCATCTGTTTGGTTTTATGCAATTGGGAGAAGCTTCTGTCTGAGACTGTAGGTCCTAAAGCCCACATGTGAGAACTCTGTTCTCTCCTGTGTTTACATGCTGTAGTGTATATTCCTTGGAACATGCTACATGCCTCCCCTTCTTGCCTTGAAGATTGCAGATCTACCAGTGTTCATGTTCTATGTGTACCAAGCTTTACTCTGCCTCGTCCAGGTTTCACCTTGAATACCTTGTGCCTCTTTTGGTTCGTGTTGCTGCCAAGTATAGTTTTGGTATCAGAGGTTTGGTATGGCGGGCAAAGGGTACTAGCCTGTGACAGCATTAGCTATACCTATTCTTGTCTCAAATGTTTGCCTCGTTCTGGCTGGTTCTATTTCTTTTTGAATGAGAAAGAAAGGGAAGGAGGAAACCTGAACTCTATTCTTCAGCCCCTTTCTGGCATCTGTTGCATGTTCGTTTCATCACTCAGCAGCAATACCTACTGATTTCTGCATTCTAGGACTCGTAGGTCCTAAAGACCTACTTTTATCCAGAAAATAGTCCTCTGCCATCTCTCAAGAACTGTGCTAAGGGACTGAAGAGATGGCTCAGTAGCTAAGAGCACTTGATGCTCTTTCAGAGGACCTGGGTTCACTTCCTAACACCCACATCATGGCTCAGTTCCAGGAGATCCAACACCCTTTTCTTGCCTCCACAGGCACTACATGCACATGGTGCACAGATGTACATGCAGGCAAAATACCTATACACATAAAATAAAATTAAATTTAAAAATTTTTTGCCAGGCAGTGGTGGTGCATGCCTTTAATCCCAGCACTCAGGAGACAGAAGCAGGTATGTCTCTGTGAGTTTGAGGCCAGCCTGTTCTACAAAAAGAGTTCCAGGACAGCTACATAGAAAACCTGTCTATAATTAATAAATAAATAAATAAATAAATAAATAAATAAATAAATAAATAAAATTAAAAAGAACTGTTGGCAAAAAGCAGTGCCCTACCCCCTACCTCCATGGCTCCTCCAGTCAGGAGAAGAGCCTGTACTACAAGGCCCTGAAGCAAAATGAAAAAGGCACTTGAGCTGCCCTGCCCATGTGCAGATGGAGGGTCATGGGATGGATCATGGCTGGAGGAGATCAGTGTTGGGGTGTCCGGGGCAGACGCCAAGAATGCTCATATGTGCGTGTTTATGCTATGGTCCATGGAAGGACTGAGGCCCAGGGCATGAACGTAGAGACCTGGTGCTTCTCTCTCTTTGGTTAGAATCTACATTACAGTTTACTGTGTCTTCAGGCCTCCGCACCCATTGCTTTTAGCCTATGTTGTTCTGTTTGGCTCATGTTGAGAAAACACGATTTATAACTACAAGACCGCCAGAAGGTATTAGAAGGACAGCAGTATCAGCAGCAAGCCTTGCCCTGCTTCTCTTCTCCTTTCTGTCATGGCTGTGGTGAGGATGTCTCACAGTAATACGAGACTTCTGGGTTTGGGGATGGTCCCTGTTCCCAAGTATCAGTTTTAACTCCCCATATAGACCTGACACTTCACCAATTTTCTCATGATTCTAAAAGCTGAACTCTGGGTTGTTTGTTTTTCCCTGTGTGAAGATCTTGCTATATAACCCAGGATGGTCTCCCACTCAGTCATCCTGCCTCAGCCCTAAGTGCTGAATTACAGGCATGTGCCATGTTGCAACTCATTTTTAATGGATAGTTGTGAGCCACCATGTGGGTGCTGGAAAGCCAGAGCCTCTGCAAGAGCAGCATGTGCTCGCTCTTAACTACTGCGCCATCGATTCAGCCCCTTCCAGCTCATTTTTATTTGCGTGTTTGTTTGATCTTAAACTGGACCCTTGCTGATCCTACTGCTCTAAAGCATTTGATTTTTGTTTAGATATTTGTATTTATTAGTGTGTTTGTGTGCATGAGAGAGAGGGAGGAGGGAGGGTAGGGGTTTGTTACGGCACACCTGTAGAGGTCAGAGGACAACTTCACTTGCTTGTTTTGTGTGTACACACGTTTGCTGTTGTGTACATGTGGAGGTCATTTATAGGAGTTGGTTCTCTCCTTCCACCATGTGGGTTCCAGGGAGAACTCAGGACCTGGGCTGGGTTTCTTGGCAAGTACCCTACACACTGAGCCATCTCACTGGCCCAAGCACTTTGATTCTTAGTTTGCTGCCAGGACAAGTGACCCAAGGGTAATGAGAATCACTTCTCTTTTGTTTGATGTCCCTTTGGCAAGGTCCTTGTTGGTCCTAGTATAAATACAAGTGTTCCCTGGCTCTTCCCCCTTGGGCCCTCCTGTCACCAGCTCACTTCAGTTCTGTTAAGGCTTGGACAAGACCAGGGCCATCTAGCAATCGCTGGGACTTATGCTGTCAGTAAATCCACTGAGCCTCTTGCCATGTCGCCAGTGGACATCTCCTGACCCCATCTCCTGCTAGAGTGGAGGCTTTCCCAGAAATCTTCCTTGGAGAAGATTGGGAAAAGACAGTTATCTTCAAGCTAACCAGCTTCTTCCCTGTTATCACTGGGTAGGTTGAGGCACTAGCAAGCTTGATCTATATGGCTGTGCCCCTAGTTACCTCCTTCCTCAAAGTGGTAGGTACTACGCTACCTTCTCCCTGGTAGTGTGGGCTTATGGCTACCTGAGTCACTTGTCCCCTTGACCCACAGATAGTCTCAGCCTCACTCTGACTGATCTGTCATGCCTGGAGCTGGAGTGAGATTTTAAATAGAGATGATGGTGTCTCCTGTTCAAAGAAATCCCTGAGCCCTTCTGAAGAGAGCTAGTTCTGTCACTGTGTAGTGTAGGGTTGCTTCATAACCAGCCTCACCAAGTGTCTGGACCCTTCTGTCCTGTGGGACTTATAGGAGTCCGTGATGTAGCCACATGACACTCCTTTTTAAAGGATGAGAACTGAAGTCTCAGGAACAGCTGGCGCTCTTTCCCTTCCCCCGACCCATCAGCTAGATTTGAGTTCTCCAAGGGAGAACCTAGCACAGGTGGAGCATTATTCCCTCTCCACTTAGAAGCCACTTTGGGGATCAGAACAGGTGTGCGCTGGCCTTGTGACCTGCTGAAATGTCCAGGCTCCCTGACAGGTCCTGTGTTTCCTCACTGCCCCACAGCTCATTGCCTGAGGAAAAGAATAAAAGCACATCTTCTTTTGAGACCTGCCCACGGCCAAATGAAAAGCAAGAAACTGAGCCAGGAGAGCCAGATCCTGAGCAGAAGAAGAGCCGTGCTCGAGAGCGGAGGCGGGAGGGCCGCTCCAAGACATTTGACTGGGCTGAATTCCGCCCCATCCAACAGGCCCTGGCTCAAGAAAGGGCCAACACTGTGGGATCCTCTGATGCTGGTGAACCTGGGCGTCCTGAAGCCGAGCCAGGTGAGCTGGAGCGTGAACGAGCTCGACGGCGAGAAGAGCGCCGCAAACGCTTTGGGATGCTGGACACCGTTGATGGGCCAGCTATGGAGGATACAGCCCTACGTATGGACATAGACCGGAGCCCAGGTCTGCTGGGACCCCCTGACCTCAAGACGCAGAATGTCCATGTGGAAATCGAGCAGCGGTGGCACCAAGTGGAGACTACCCCTCTGAGGGAGGAGAAACAGGTGCCTATTGCCCCTCTGCACCTGTCCTTGGAGGACAGAAGTGAGCGGCTCTCCACTCATGAGCTCACGTCTCTGCTAGAGAAGGAGGTAATGTGGGGCTGCTTTCTTCTTGCATGCACGTAATTACTCAATATAGTACTATAGGAGAGTAAGGAGGTGGCCCAGGGCTGCGGTGAGATGGAGTGGGTCAGGGATTAGATGGAGGCATTCTAGCATCTTGGTACAGAGCCATATAAGCTAACCCCTGTGTTCGTAGTGTATGATTCTCATAGAATGTGTCCAGATTACATCTGCACATACATTTATATCTCGCTAGTGAGTTCCATGACCAGAATTACAGGATGAGTATCCTTAATTGAAAAGTCACAAATGCTCCAAAATCCAAAAGGCTTTTAGTGTCAACGTGACACAAGCAGAAAGTTCTCCACCAGGAAATTCTGTTTCTTTATAAAACTAGTAAATACTATACTATAGGAGACTAGGGATATGGCCCCAGTGTTACAGCATTTGCATAATCCACAGAGCCCTGGGTTCAATCCTAGCATTACCAAAACAAAGCAAAATGTCCAAATCACATATATAAAAGAAGGCATGTGTAAAAAGTAAGATGTAACATGATTGAAGTTCATATTTAGATTGGGCCCTATCCTCCATATTGCCCATTGTGTATATACAGTTACTCCAGAATCATTTCAAAGGCAAAACAACAGTATATCCTAAAATCTAGAATACTCACATGAGGTATTTGAGATGTGGGCTCAGCTTACATAGGGTTGGTTCTGTCTGACTTTTGCCCTCTTGGGGGCATTTTCCTCAGCAAGCATCCAGCATATTCTCATACTCTTTCCATAAGAGCTAATTGAAGATCTACCACTTCAGCATGCCTCTCTTTGCCTCTTTTATTTTTTGTTTTTTTTCTGTTTTATTAAATGTATGAATCTGATAGATTACTAGCACCAACACTTTGACTTTTCATTTTCTATATCCATTAATTAAATAATACAGGTAAAAAGAAATAAAGTAATTCAAACTCACATAATTCTAGGCTACCAAAATGAGCCTTCTGGCCTGCAGGCCACATACTGAGTTCTTAACTGAATAGCAACATCTGCCTCCCATGGCCCAGCAGACCAAGGCAGCCCCCATACAGCAGAGCATCAATGTGGCTCTTAGAAGGTTGGGGAAAGGTGGATGGTGATTTTGAAGCTGTTGAAAACAAGAATGTAGAGCGTTTATAGGTTTCTGTGTCTTACTGAGAATATATTGGAACTTTATGTGGAATCTGTTCTGTAAACCTGGTCAATGGAGTAGTCAGTAGAAACTACAGCAGGACCTGAAGTGAGATCTGCATGCCTATGCCAGGGACCCCCACCCACACCGCCTTCCTTTTGATAAAGATGTGAAGCCTTCCTTTCTCGATGGAGCACAGCCACCCCCCAAATATGAACTTTCCACCTGTATTTCAGCCTGCATAGTACAACTGTGAGCCAATGTGAAAGCTTATTGGGGCTAGGCAGGGCTTACCTGAGGCAAGAACAGGAAATGTGTCCCTTAGCCACCAGAAGGGAACAGTTGTGCTGATGATGTGTCCAGCTTGAGCTGGACCCTTCAGTATCATATACTGCGTATCCAGTGAGAGTCTGAGACCCATGAACAAGCCTTATTGTTTTGACGACTTGTGGTCAGCTGCTTTTCCTTATCGTCATCATGTTTGTGAAGTGTATGTATGTGTTTATTTTCACCAACAGCTGGAGCAGAGCCAGAAAGAGGCCTCGGATCTTCTAGAGCAGAACCGGCTTTTGCAGGACCAGTTAAGGGTGGCCCTGGGCCGAGAGCAGAGTGCCCGGGAGGGCTATGTGCTTCAGGTAGGGTGGGCAGCTGCCCAGTCAGCAGTGCAGCCAGGGGCTTCAGTGTGAAAGGCCTGCTCAGGCCCACAGGCTAGGAATGTGCAAACGTGGTCAGCAAGGACCAAGGCTCCTAGTCCTGTGATAGTCTGTACATTTTCCTTGCTGCTAGGACGTTCATTTTGGGAAATGTGTCCCGAATCTCTACAGCTAAGGACTGTCTTTTGGTCATGAAATCATTTTGGTGATCTCTCCTTTGGGCATTCTAGACATTGTGCTTTTGTGAAAACCGTGTGTCTGTATGTCATTTCTCATTGTGTTCACCATAGTGATATTGGGCCCATTGTACATATACTGAAAAAAACTGGTCAAGACAGCAAGCCAAGTGCCTTCTTAGGACCAACAGCAAGTTAGTGGCAGAGCTAGGACTGCACCACTACCCACCTACCCATTCCTTTTCAACCAGCCTAAGTGTCTGGAGGACATATGACCACCTAGCCAACCTAACCCAACCCAGAAAATGATGGAAAAGTGGTGGCAGCTAGGTGCTGAGCTGACAGCCCAAGACCAGTGTCCTCCTCAAGGCGTCTTCCCAGAATCTTGCTGCATTCAGATCACGAACATCCGCTTGATGTGGATATGTCAAAAAACAGTCTCAAGGTAGCTCGGTATGAGGACAGGTGGCATGTGTTATCCTGTAGCTGGCTTCCTAGGATCAGTGCTAGCTCTGGGACATGAAGGAGACATACTCTCCCCTGGGTACCATCGTGCTGATGGGAGAATCAACAAATAAGTGTTAGGGATAGTGGAATGGGGTGGTAGAATTGAAGCTCCCAGAAAAGGCCAAGGAGAAGATACCGGTTTTAGATTGGTGTCAGGGTTCTCTGTTCTAGTCTTGACTCTGCCAGTGACCCCAGAAGCATACTCCACCCTACAGCAGCAGCCTCTTGCCTGTGTCATTTGGAACTAGTGTTCTCCAAAAGGCCTTCAGCTCTGAGACCCAGAGTCTCTGCCCAGACCCTTCTACACTGACCTCCTCAATCTTCGTCACCAAGTTGCCAGTGGACCTGGAGTCCTTCACTCGCCTCAACCAGAGCCTGCCTTACCTTCGTGCCTACCCCTCACACTGCTGCATGATGTCCCTGGATTACCCCTGTACCCTACCCCCACATTACTGCGCCCTCTTCCCTTCCAGCAGACTCACTGCTGTCCTACTTCTGACCTTCTTGCTTGAAACTGGCAGGCATCTCCCTTTCACACAGCCTACTCAGAAAGCCGTAGGTTATTCATTCAGGCCATCCCTAATTTAAGGGTCATTTTCTTTTCTTTCTTTCTTTTTTTTTTTGGTTTTTCGAGACAGGGTTTCTCTGTGTAACTTTGCGCCTTTCCTGGATCTCGCGCTGCAGACCAGGCTGGCCTTGAACTCACAAAGATCCGCCTGCCTCTGCCTTCCGAGTGCTGGGATCAAAGGCGTGCACCACCACCGCCTGCCTGGCTAAGGGTCATTTTCTTAAGCCTTTGTTGGGTCCACCATATAAGACTTGACTTCAGACGTGGTGGTGAAGACACTGCCAAGGAGCTTTGCACATTGCTAACTTGTGTGTCTAACATGGACTGTCATGTGCATCTACACTGAAGGCCCTGTTGGTCAGCAACTGGGCCAGCTTCCCGCTGAAACTAATAATGATTATCCCTGAGCCTTGGAAATACTTAGTCAAAAGTAAAAAGGGTCAAGAGGCCTTTTGGGGCACTGAGGGTTAAGAGATACAAGCTCGGGTAGGGTGCTGTGCTCACTGCTGGGAGGGGCCTGCATGCTTTGGATGGTGAACGTGGTGTGGAACTGGAACTTACTGAGTGTCACATCTGTGGCTTCCCCACCAGTAGACTGAGGGAGCCTGGGCAGGCAGATTCTAAGTGGGGCTGTCCTGACTCACTGTGCTGTCCCTGCTTCATATGAGCCCTGTCTCTTCTGTGTCTCAGTTTGGGAACTTTGTGTTTTATTTTGGGTTTTGCATGTGTCACTCTTATTTTGAGCTTTACGGAGGTTTGTTTTGTTACCACGTTTTGCTTCATGATCTGCATTCCCCTTGTTCTGTCTTCTTGCAGGTAGAGATTAGTTTTCTCCTTACGGTGGAGGCCTGACTACGCTTTCTAAAGGAAATGTTCCGATGTTACCTTGCTGACATCTCTCAAGTAGTTACCTGCCTTCCTTCTCTTCCTGTCACGGAAGGAAGTGACGTCACTTTCTTGTGCCTTATGCCCTGTGCTGCTTTAAACATGTGGTCTAGAACTGCATACTTTGTTTTGCCAAACAAATGCGGTGTCCTTTTGTCCTTCAGTCTCCGTTATACTTTTCAGTGTGTTCCATTATTCAGCTTTATTTGGTTTATTTCTTCTAGATGCTGTTCAGTTAGAGCTGTTTTTTGATGTTTTTTCCCATGTGTTCTGTTTATGTGGAAGCAGCTATACTTACCAAAAACAAACCAAAACAAACAAAACCCACATTAATTTGATTTTTTTTTCTTTAAACGAAGAAAAAAAAAGTTGTCCAAAGGATTAAAGCCAAACCCACCAAGGAGCTTTTCTATGATTGATCCTGGCCAGAGGTGTGACACTCAGAACAGGGTGGCCTGAGTGTTACTAACCAGTATTTAATCGATTTTTTTAAGACTGAAGTGGCCACCTCCCCATCGGGTGCCTGGCAGAGGCTCCATAGAGTCAACCAAGACCTACAAAGTGAGCTGGAAGCTCAGTGCCGGCGGCAAGAGCTCATCACGCAGCAGATTCAGACCCTGAAACATAGCTATGGGGAGGCCAAGGATGCAATCCGGCACCATGAGGCTGAGATTCAGACCCTGCAAGCAAGACTTGGTAATGCAGCTGCAGAGCTGGCTCTTAAAGAGCAGGCTTTAGCCAAGCTCAAGGGTGAGCTGAAGCTAGAGCAGGGCAAAGTTCGTGAGCAGCTGGAGGATTGGCAGCACAGCAAGGCTGTGCTGAGTGGCCAGCTGAGGGCCAGTGAGCAGAAACTCAAAAGTACAGAAGCTTTGCTGCTGGAGAAGACCCAGGAACTGAGGGACCTAGAAACACAGCAGGCATTGCATCGGGACCGACAGAAGGAGGTGCAGAGGCTGCAGGAATGCATTGCTGAGCTCAGCCAGCAGCTAGGTACCAGTGAGCAGGCCCAGCAGCTGATGGAGAAGAAGTTGAAGAGGAACTATACATTGTTGCTAGAGAGCTGTGAGCAGGAGAAGCAGGCACTGTTGCAGAACCTGAAGGAGGTAGAGGACAAGGCCAGTGCCTATGAGGACCAGCTCCAAGGCCATGTGCAGCAGGTGGAGGCCCTCCAGAAAGAGAAACTGAGTGAATCATGCAAAGGCAGTGAGCAGGTGCACCTGCTAGAGGAAGAACTGGAAGCCCGGGAAGCTAGCATCCGCCAGTTAGCCCAGCATGTACAGAGCCTCCACGATGAACGGGATCTCATCAAGCAGCAGTTTCAAGAGCTCATGGAGCGTGTGGCCACATCTGATGGGGACGTGGCTGAGCTCCAAGAGAAGCTGAGGGGAAGAGAAGCTGACTACCAGAACCTAGAGCACTCACACCACAGAGTCTCTGTCCAGCTGCAGAGTGTGCGCACTCTGCTCAGAGAAAAGGAAGAGGAGCTAAAGCACATTAAGGAAGCACATGAGAGAGTTCTAGAAAAGAAAGACCAAGACCTCAATGAGGCTTTAGTTAAAATGATTGCCTTGGGCAGCAGCTTAGAGGAAACAGAAATTAAGTTGCAGGAAAAGGAAGAGTGTCTAAGGAGATTTGTAAGTGATTCTCCAAAGGATGCCAAAGAGCCTCAGAGTACAGCAGAGCAAACAGAGGAGGACAGTGGCATTTTTCCCCTAGGTTCAGTTACCAGAGTATTTCCAGGCTTTCCCCACTCACAGCCAGAGGATGAAGACCCAGGTGCTGGCCTAGGGGAGGAGTGTAGTAGTGGTAGCCCCAGCAGAGAGGAGAACATGGTACCCCCAAAGTCTGTGGATGTGCCTGACAGGGAGGGGCATCTGCAAAGCACCTCTAAGTCTGACCAGGGAGCACCTGTAAAAAGGCCAAGAATCCGGTTCTCCACGATCCAGTGCCAAAGATATATACACCCTGAGGGGTGTGCAAAGGCCTGGACTAGCAGCACGTCATCAGACACCAGCCAGGACCAGTCACCCTCAGAAGACAGTGTGTCCTCAGAAGCTACCCCTAGCACACTCCCTGCAGCGGCAGATGCTGAAACATACATCTCTATAATCCACTCCCTGGAGACAAAGCTCTTTGTCACAGAGGAGAAGCTCAAAGACGTGACCGTGAGGCTGGAGAGCCAGCAGGGCCAGAGTCAGGAAGCATTACTTGCATTGCACCAGCAGTGGGCTGGCACTGAGGCCCAGCTGCGGGAGCAACTCCGTGCCAGCCTGCTGCAGGCTAGTGCACTGGCCTCTCAGCTAGAGCAGGAGAGACAGGAGAAGGCCACAAACGTTGAACATCACCCTGGGGAGCTGGAAGACTTCCAAGCCAAAAATAGCCAAGCCCTATCATGCTTAGAAAACTGCTGGAAAAAGCTGAGGTCTCTGCCATTTGCTGACCAGGAGGAGGGACAGGATGCATGTGCAGCCTCCCTGGCTAACATAGAGAGTATGCTTGTGAGTGCTATAAAGGCCCTTCAGCCGTGGGCATCCCCAGCAGACAGCAGGACACAGACTGAGCAAGAGAAGGGGCACTCCATGGAAAGTAGCCTGGCAACCCCTGTGCAGCAGCCCTGCCAGCCCATATTGAATGAGCAGGAACATAGGAAGTTGCTTTCTGCTCAGATAGTCCTGGAGGCCTCACTTATCAACCAAATAGCTGACTCTCTAAAGAATACCACTTCAGATGTGTATGGTGTTCTCCGTGAGCTTACTCAGTCAGGGGAGTGGCCACTGAAGGAAGAAAGTGCTGCCCTCTCTGCTGGGGCTCCGGTGGAGATCTGGGCCAAGAAGGTGCTGGTGAATGGTGAGTTCTGGAGCCAGGTCGAATCCCTAAGCAAGCACCTAGGAACACTGGGAGAAGCAGCAGCCTGCACATCCGGAGACAGGCAGCAGCATATCCCCCAGAGTTTGGCTGATGCCACATGGATTCGTGCAGAGCTCAGCTATGCCACACAGTCATTAAGAGAATTGTTCCACCACAGGCTACAGAGCATACAGGAGACCCTACAGGGGACCCAAGCAGCCCTGCAGCAGCACAAGTGCATGCTGGGAGAGATCTTGAGAGCCTACCAAACCCCAGACTTTGAAAGAGTAATACAGCAGATCTTAGAAACTCTCAGGCATCCAACTGGCAGGGAGGACCAGGTACAGACATCCTGGGACCAGAGCCCATTAGGAGAGGTACTGAGGCCAGGCACAGATGGCTCCCAAGAGCCTTTGCAGGCTCTCCATCAGAGCCCTGAAGTCCTTGCTGCCATTCAGGATGAGCTGGCTCAGCAGCTAAGGGAAAAGGCTAGCATCCTGGAGGAGATTTCAGCTGCCTTACCAGGCCTGCCTCCCACAGAGCGACTTGGGGGTTGCCAGAGGCTTCTGCAGATGTCCCAGCATCTCTCGTATGATGCTTGTCTAGAGGGCCTTGGTCAGTATTCTTCATTACTGGTTCAAGATGCAATTATTCAGGCTCAAGTGTGCTATGCAGCATGCAGAATTCGGCTGGAGTATGAAAAGGAGTTGCGATTTTATAAAAAGGCCTGTCAGGAGGCCACGGGGGGCTCTTGCCAGAAGCGTGCACAAGCGGTTGGGGCCCTGAAGGAGGAGTATGAAGAACTTCTCCACAAGCAGAAGAGTGAGTACCAGAAGGTGATCACCCTCATTGAGAAGGAAAACACTGAGCTCAAGGCCAAGGTGAGCCAGATGGACCATCAGCAGAGATGTCTACAAGAAGCAGAAAGTAAACACAGTGAAAGCATGTTTGCCCTGCAGGGCAGGTATGAGGAGGAGATCAGGTGCATGGTGGAGCAGCTGAGCCACACCGAGAACACACTGCAGGCTGAGCGTAGCCGGGTTCTCAGCCAGCTAGACGCTTCAGTCAAAGACAGACAGGCCATGGAGCAGCAGCATGTGCAGCAAATGAAGATGCTGGAGGACAGGTTCCAGCTGAAGGTCCGGGAGCTGCAGGCTGTCCATCAGGAGGAGCTGAGGGCCTTGCAGGAACACTATCTATGGAGCCTGCGGGGAGCCCTCAGCCTCTGCCAACCCTCACACCCAGATTCCCCACTGGCCCCGAGGCCATCTGAGGCCAGAGCTGTGCCAACAGCCAACGATGAGGCCGAATCCATGACAGGGCTGCGAGAACGTATCCAGGAGCTGGAGGCCCAAATGGACGTCATGCGAGAGGAGCTGGGCCACAAAGAGCTGGAGGGTGATGTGGCCACCCTGCGGGAGAAGTACCAGCGGGACTTTGAGAGCCTCAAGGTCTTTAGCACCATTTATTTTTCAGAGCCAATTCTCTTTGGTGATGCAAGAAAGGGGCATTGTGGGCAACTAAGGTCTTAGAGTGGGATAGGAGGTACATAATTGAGTAACATTCTCCTGGCCATCTCTTCATGACCCAGAAGGGAAGCCAGCAAGGAAAGCAGTGTCCCTGTGGGAAAGTAGAGTAAGGTCTTCCTTGCCTGTCCACGCCTCCAGGGCACTCTCCATACCCTTCACCTTCTTACCCTCACGGAATCCCTTCTGGCTTCAAAGTTGAAGTATTAGTCCAAGCATTGTCTCACCCCTCTGAAGGGCCGTCACCACCTGACTCTTCTCAGAGAGCAAGGTTGGGACTTTAGAACACAGGAATATTTGCAAAGCAGTAAGCGTTCTTACCTAGCCTACCTTCCCAAGGAAGAGTTGGCAGTGGTTGGGCACTGTGTCTGAGAAGGGCTTTCTCACACTCTTGTCTCCCAGGCTACCTGTCATGCTTCTGTGGCTACCCCTATTTTATCTTAGATTACACTGTGTGTGGCTGCCTGGGCATATTCGTGGAGGGTCCTAACCATCTCTTAGATTCCAAAAGTGGCATGGTAGCTGGATCTTCATCTTCTTCCCCATTGGAAGGTGTCCAGGCTCCAAGGGTACCTGCACCAGGTCTTCTTGCAGGCCAGCGTTCCTGCCACAGTGCCACAGCTGTAGCACAGCAGGGTGTCTGTGACTGTTTCCCAGCACCCTTTTCCTCCATCCTGAAGGGAAACAATGGTACATTCAGGCTGGTGCTTTGCCCTTGCCTCTGGGTGAACACATAGCTACTGACCAAATACACAGGAGAGGCTGACAAGGCACCTGAGGCACTGGTGCTCACCATTCTTTTCCTGGTCTCATCCAGACCTTTAAAAACCATTAAGCATTGTGAGAAGTTTTCGAAATGTGTATTCAGTGATCCTACAGGGAGCCTGGACCACCATTGCCTGCTCATCTTTACATCTACAGGCATCTCCACAGCCTAGGGTGGATGGGTCCAGGCCTGGCAACATCGTAGTCAGTTATCAGGATGTCAGAATGGTTATGCTGGGCTCGGGTTACCTAGTGGGAAAACGCCTTAGAAACAAAAGATAACAGGTTAAGAGAAAGCATCGGGCTTGAGCATATGTATGTGCCCAAGAACTTCAAGCCCTCTATGGAACTTGTGGCACAGCTGGACACATGCAGTGTGTTTGACCAGACTGTCCAAAGAGCCCAGCTGGGAACAGTTTCTCTCTGTGGATCTCTGCCCAGTTAAGGGAGCCTGGACTGTTGCTACTGCCTCACGACCACTAGCCATGATCCTGCATCTTAGTCAGTAAGGAACTTGTTTTGATTCTAGGGGTGATTTAAAAATTAAAATTTGTGCTGGGCGGTGGTGGCGCACGCCTTTAATCTCAGCACTCGGGAGGCAGAGCCAGGCGGATCTCTGAGTTCGAGGCCAGCCTGGTCTACAGAGCAAGATCCAGGACAGGCACCAAAACTACACAGAGAACCCTGTCTCGAAAAACCAAATGAATGAATGAACGAATGAATGAATGAATGAATGAGTAAATAAATTAATTAATTAAAATTTGGAGCTGGGGAATGACTCAATGTTTAAAGTGCTTGCCAGCAAGCATGAGAACAGGAGTTTAGATCCCCAACACTCATGTAAATGCTGGGTGAGCATGGTATGGTGTGGCCCCCTTGTAATTCTAGCACATAGCAGATGGAGACAAAGCATCCCTGAAGAAAGCTAGCTGGCTAGGTGGTTCAGTCAACAGATTCTGCGCTCAGATGAGAGGGTCTGTATAAGGTGGAAGCGATCAAGGAAAGGCAATGTCAAGTATCAACTGTGGCTTCCCTACACACATACACTCAAAATCTTTAATTAGTTTACAGAGTAACAATCTTCAAACATAATACAATTAACAAAGAAGCAGCCTAGTTGTTAAAGGTGCCTCAGTGTTTCTGTTATAGGAATCTCAGACCCTATCTTCTTCATGTATTCCAAAATGCTCAAATCCAAATAAGATGGAAAAGACTTCCTATAGGATGAGCATCCATTATATGGAACTCAAAATCTGAAATGAGCCAAAATCCAAACTATTCTGAGCACTGACAGACTGCCACAAGTGGAAAGTTCCTAAGTGAACATTCTGTGGTAAGTCTTAGTTAACTGCGGGCAGAGTAAACAGGCTGTATAAGGTTATCTCTAGGCTGGGTGGAGAAGGTAACTAGTACAGCACACACTGCAGTCAGCTCCAGGATGTGAGCGGAATTTAAAGTTGCTGAATAGAGGTTCTTGGAAAGGCCCCACAGTGACTGTGAGGCTAGGTAAAAAATGCCAAAGCATGATGATTGGATACTTGGTATTCTTTGTTGACTCCATTAGCAAAGCGATGAGGTAGGGACACAGAGTTAGAGCCATGTTCTTCTAGTTTGTTTGGTTTATCAGAAAGCCTGTTCTTCCCAGAAGTGGCTATCACAAGTTTAGGCAGAATGACCCACATTCAAAGTAGCTGTGAGCTGTAAGTGGAACACAGAGCATGCATTACTGCTTGGTTGGGGAGAGCAGCTGGGCTCTGGGGCTCTGGTGAATGGGGACTCTCCTTAGGACTCACATGTTGTGTCTGTTCTGCTTGGTAAGGTGGTACGGTTCTCAGTGGGTAGTGTGCCTCGGTTCTCCTTTAAAAGAGAGGAAGGGAGAAGGCATGGGCTGTCAGGAAAGATGTTAGCATTTGCTCTGGCTCCTGTGTGGACACCTTTGAGGTTTAGTAGACAGCTGAAGCTCCCCAGCTCCCAAAAATGGGTCCTGTCTACCCCAGCCCACAGAGGATGTGTTGGGCACTGCAGTCAGGCTACCTTTTGTTTCAGGATGGACCTCACTCTCCCCAACTAGCACATTTGTCTGAATTTGTCCCTGTTAGCAACAACACCCAGTATATCTGCTACTCCAGCCAGTAGAAGCAGTACATGGGCATTTGGTTGTGATGACGTGCAATCCCAGACCAGAGGGTGTATAGCTACCCACAGACTTGGTACTGATGCGAGAAGCACCAGCCATATCTTGACACCATATCACTTCCTGGAACCAAGCAGGTTGCTGCCTTATTTATTACACAGGATAGCCACTTGGAGGCAAAGAGAAACCAATAAGCCCTCTTGCATTCCACAGGCTACATGTGAGCGAGGTTTTGCCGCCATGGAAGAGACACACCAGAAGAAGATTGAAGACCTACAGAGGCAACACCAGCGGGAGCTGGAGAAGCTGCGGGAGGAAAAGGACCGCCTCCTGGCTGAGGAGACGGCTGCCACCATCTCAGGTGGGGCTAAGTCCATGAGCACAGGGGTCCCATGTCTTGGGCTGAACCTGCAGTTCAGAAGAGGATTGGCCTTACTTGTTTTTCCCTGAGATTGAAGGTTCCTCCTTATAGATGGTGGTGGATATAGGCGGGCAGGGTCTTTTATCATAGGCCATCCTTCAACTCCCTATGTAAGTGAGGATAACCTTGAACTCATTCTCCTTCCTCCACCTCCCCAGTGCTAGAGTAACAGACATGTACCACCCGACCCTGTTACTGTATTGCTGGAGACTGAACATGGCCTCATGCATGTCCAGCAGGTGCTGGACCTGAGGTTTCATTTTGGAAAGAGCTATTTGAAGAATAAAAGTGAGGCAAGGACTAACTTGAGAAGCCTTTTGAGAGCCTCCAAACTGAGAGCCAGTGTTCCAGCCATCTGTGACACTGCAGGGCTGGGCCCCAACAAGTATCCATCACTTGGAGTCCTCTTTTTACCAGAGCATGAATGTGCTGTAACATAGCCCCAGCAAGTGTGTCTCACCATCTCATGTTGCATTCTCTTTACATGATTAACGACAGCATGGTGAAGTGTGATCCTAATTAGTCTTGACAATAAAAACCCAGAGTAAGATATCAGGGTGAAAGCTGAAAGATCAGAGAAGCAGACCTGCAACCAGTAACTTCTTACCTCTATGAAATCTCAGACCAGATGGGGCTATCCTGTCTCTTCGAATCCTCAGACTGAATGGGCGGCAGGTACTTAGGAGTACTCTGCCTCCTAAGTGCCAGGATCAAAGGCATGAGATCCCAAGTGCTAGGATCAAGGGTGTGAGCCACCACTGCCCAGCTCTATTTCTCTTTTAGCCTGGATCAATCTCATGTAGCCCAGGGTGGCCTTAAGTTCCTGATCTTCCTGCTTCCTCCTCCCGAGTACTAGGATTAAAGGTATGTGTCACCACTGCCTGGCCTCTATGGTTAACCAGTGGCTAGCTCTGCCCTCTGATCTCCAGACAAGCTTTATTTGTCAGAACACAAACAAAATATCACATAATGGTACGGTGGCTTATTTTAGCATCAGGGAAGTAAGTAAACCAGCTCTCAGACATTTTTGTTTTAAAAACTCATGCATGAATATAACATTGACATTTAACTGATCATTGTGGAGTCTTTTTAATATCACATATAACATACCTATACGCCTTCCAGTGGGAATTAGTTTGTGAATTCTCTCAGCCATTTTTTGTCCCAGAGAGCTGGATTATGATAGAGCAGCCTGCTGTGGAGTCCTACTGCTGCTGGAGTTGGTGTCAGCACAGGGCAGACATCACACTTAACCTGCCCTTGGCCTTGTGGAGGGATAATGTAGTAGAAAGAGCCACTGCCAGCTGTAGCCCTAGATTTTGGTGCTGAGGGGCTGTGTCTTTCCTCTAGCCATTGAAGCCATGAAGAATGCTCACCGGGAGGAGATGGAACGGGAGTTAGAGAAGAGCCAACGGTCTCAGATCAGCAGCATCAATTCGGACATCGAAGCCCTGAGGCGGCAGTACCTGTGAGTCACCTAGCCCTGTGGGAGAGGGCTCCTTTCCCAAACCTAAGACAGCTTTGAGGTTGGTCTTGGGGAAGTGAGGAGACCATGGTTGTAAGACGGCCCACACTACCTTGCTCTCTAGGGGCAAACACCTAAGAGTTAATTAAGATTGATTTCTAAGATGCAAAGAAACAAATGCAAAAAAATGACATTTAAAAACCATAGCTTAAGCTAGGCATGGTAACATCCATCTGTAATCCCAGCACTAAGGCTGGAAGATTGCCACAAATCTGAAGCCAGTCTGGACTATATGTGAATACCCTATTCTAAAACAAAACAAAACGCCTTTTGCTTGTTAGGGTTGACTGCAGACACCATCCCCCAGTTTGTCTCTACCACTGCTACTCTATCAGCACCTTACAAGGAGCCAGGGTCTGGCTGGTGCTTTGTGCCTGGTATAACACAGCTGTTTGTGGCAAAAGTGGTACAGTTAAGTGTTCTCAAAGTCTCACGCATACTGGCTGCACAGGAAACAGCACCTGGTGAATTTTCCCTTGGTAGGAGTCACTGCTAGGGACCCTCTGGTTAGTAACAGGAGGTATCCATTGATTAGACTTTGCTGGGGTCTCTGGACTATGCCAGGGTCTAAAGCAACAACTCAGGAAGTCTAGTGGTCATGCTTGATGGACTGGAGGCTCACCTGGAAGCTCCTTCTTGACTCTCTTGGATTTGGCTCTTCTGGACATGGGGTGCTGAGAACAGTATCTCCAGGACAGGTTCCTGGTGCTAATGTCTGTAATTGAAGTGATAGAACAACCAAGTGGGTGCTTCCTACCTCTGAGATCTCTCAGAAACAGACAGCTCTGTGGTCCCAGTGACTGGCTCTGCCTCCCAGTTCCGTCACCAGAGTATGCCAGCTATGGATGGCCCAGGAAAGACAGAGTCATTTCTGCAAAGTGTCCCTGACATTCTGTGAGCAGACACTGTCCTGTCAATGCCCAGCTGCCCAGTCCTGTATGAGGCAGAGCTGAGCATTCCCTCTCTGCAGGGAGGAGCTGCAGTCAGTGCAGAGGGAGCTGGAAGTCCTTTCGGAGCAGTACTCCCAGAAGTGCCTGGAGAATGCACATCTGGCCCAGGCGCTGGAGGCCGAGCGGCAGGCCCTGCGGCAGTGCCAGCGTGAGAACCAGGAACTCAATGCCCACAATCAGGTAAGGCCAAGAGAAGCTAAGCCTCACCTTCATAGAAGCTACCTAACCAAGGAACAGCCACATCTGTCTTTGCAGAGACTGAAGAGTCTGGTCACTTCTCTAAGTCTCTGGTCCTCTAATTGGAGTAGCTCAGGTCCATCTCAGGGTTGGGGTCTTCTGTCCTCTGGTGGCTGGGCTTACCCTGTCATGTTTATCTTTATAAGTCGTGCTCTCAGAATTCAGTGTTCCTCAGGAAATTGGGGTTCACTAGAATCCCAGCTGGCCCAAATGATTGAGTTGTGATACTGAGTTCCATATACGCTCTTCTGCCACACCCTATTTTTGCCTGCCTCGAGCTCTCTCATGCTCGCCCTCTCTGGCCCCTCAAACCATACTGGACTGTGGGTGGAACTACTTGGGAATCACTGAACCACTGCAGTGGCTTCAAGAAAAGCACTTACCAGCCAGAAAGGAGGCCTGAGAAAATGGAGGGACAGGACAGAATAGCCTTTAGGAGGTCAAGTGAGACAAGAGAACACTGCCCACAGCAGAAGGTTAGGGTCTTTTGTTTTGGGTTTTTGGTTTGTTTGTTTTTCAAGACAGGGTTTCTTTGTGTAACAACTCTGGTTGTCCCGGAACTCACTCTGTAGACCAGGCTGGCCTCGAACTCACAGAGATCCACCTGCCTCTGCCTCCTGAGTGATGAGATTAAAGGTGTGCGCCACCACGTCCCGACTCAGAAGGGTTTTAAGGTCTAATACAGTTGGCCATCTCCTGCTGTGAGTTCTGAGTCAGTAGATTTGATGGACTACAAATAGAAAATTTTTAAGAGGGGGGAGAAAAAAAGGCATTTGTACTGGGCATATACTAACTTTTTTCTTATTACTGCTCCCTAAATAATACAGTACAACTGGATACTTGAGAATTACATGTATTGGGTATTGGATGTAATCTGAAGATAATCTAATGTGTATGGGAGGGTGTATGTATATACTGTGTGCCATTTTGTAAGGGGACTGAGCATCCACAGAATTTGGTGCCTAATCAGGGTCCTGGAACCTAAGTCTTCACAAGCCTCACATAGCCCGTATGAACAGCTTTTATGTGGTAAAAGCCTTAAATGTCTACCTTAAACACAGTGCTGTATATGCACAAGGCTTGTGGCCTCCATTCTTAGGCCTCTACACACTACTGGTGAGAAATGACCTTCTCTGGTGTCCCAGCAACTGTGTGTGGGGGCGGTCACTGTTGTATTGTTGTCCCCAGGAGCTGAATAATCGCCTGGCTGCGGAAATCACACGGTTGAGGACACTACTGACTGGAGATGGTGGTGGAGAGTCCACTGTGTTGCCACTCACGCAGGGCAAGGATGCCTACGAATTAGAGGTACTGTGAGAAGCTAGGCACTGCCTTGGTCAGTGCTCCCGAGTCACACAAGAGCTCCTTAGAGTCACTGAGGGACCAAATTTGAAGATAGGGCCAAAGAGGTAGAATTCAGTAGTAGAACTCTGGCTTAGCATGTGCAAAACTCTGGATTCATCTCTAGCTCTGCAACAACCACCACAAAAAAAGAAAGCTTGAAGCTAACATATGTGAAAGCTGTGGGAAGGTCCAAAGCCATCCAAAGATAGCCGATAGCTGACAGGCAGGCTAAGCTCCATGGGCAGGAGCAGGGCCCCTCTAGATACCATGAGGATCTTGAGTCCCACCTTCCCTTTACCTGCCCACAAACTGGCTTCATAAAGTGCCCTATTGCAGGGCTACAAGAATGCTGCTGCTTTCAGATTGTATCATGAATTAACTTCTCACAGCAATTCAGAACGGCTCATTCTGCAGTGGTAAATACCTGTAATCCCAACTACTTAGAAGGCTGAAGCGAGAGGATTCCAGAGCAGTCTGGGAAGAAAAGGAGAAAACAAACAACACTGTTGAAAGAGGGAGGGGGAAAGGAAGGCTCTAATGTGTGTAGGGCAGTGGTTCTCATCCTGGGGGTCTCAATACCTTTGGGGGTCGCATAGCAGACATCCTGCACATCAGATATTTGCATTATGATTCATAACAGCAAAATTACAGTTATGAAGTAGCAACAAAATAATGTTATGGTTGGGGCTCACCACAACATGAGGACCTGTATTAAGGGGTCGCAGCGTTAGAAGGTGGAGAACCACTGGTGTAGGACATCCTCAAGAAGGCCCTCAGTAGGTTAAGATTTTCCCTTATAGGTGGTTCAGACTGTGCCCTACAGGCAGGTGAGCAGGAGGAGCTGGGTAGGATTGGCAGAAGTTCCCACAGAAATAAGATGTCTAGGCCTTAGCAGTTCCACCTTCAGGGAGCAAACAAGTCAGTAGTGGGACCTCCAGGTAGTCCTCATGCCTGCGGCCCCAGGTTCTCAGGACTAGGAAGGCTAGCAGAGTATTTCCCCTTCCCATTTCTGTAGAAGCATTGAGCAGTATTTAAATCATATTTTCTGTTGGGTGTCAGTAAGGGTGGGCTCTCTCCTCCTCCCCACTGTGTGAAGCAGCTGTCTGCCAGCCTACCCCTGTATGCACAGCCTACCCCTCTGTATGTACAGCCTACCCCTGTATGCACAGCCTACCCCTGTATGCACAGCCTCCCCCCCTCCCCTGTATGCACAGCCTACACCCTCCCCTGTATGCACAGCCTACCCCTCTGTATGCACAGCCTACCCCTCTGTATGCACAGCCTACCCCTCTGTATGTACAGCCTACCCCCCTGTCTGCACAGCCTACCCCCCTGTCTGCACAGCCTACCCCCCTGTATGCACAGCCTACCCCTCTGTATGCACAGCCTACCCCCCTGTATGCACAGCCTACCCCTGTATGCACAGCCTACCCCCCTGTATGCACAGCCTACCCCCCTCCCCTGTATGTACAGCCTACAGGATCCCTGGTCCTGAGAGCTAGTCCTGTTTTCTCTCTCCTTATAGGTCTTGTTGCGGGTCAAAGAGTCAGAAATACAGTACCTGAAGCAGGAGATCAGCTCCCTCAAGGATGAACTCCAGACAGCCTTGCGGGTAAGGGCCACGTGTTTGGAGGCAGGGCAGGGTAGAGTGAATGCTGGGATGGTCCCAAAGTCAGTTTCCCTTGAAACACCAGCCTGTAAGCATATGCCTCCCTGGCCTAGTCAGGTGTGGTTGTTCCTGTGTTTCTGTGTATTTGGACAGGAACAATGACACACAGAAGAATGCCATGTGGGTGAAGTGAGGCTTGGTCGTTGAGGGGGCTCTCATTGGACTGGTCTCAAAGGGATGCCTGGAGTCAGAAAGAAGTGATGTAATCCTTGGTATGATCAGGTCACTTAAAAAATGTAAAAGCCAGAGACTTTCCTGACTGACACCCACAAGGAAGTGACTTGGGCAGGCAGGCAGGCAGGCAGGACCACAGCAGGCTGCCTGAGCTTGCTCTGGTCACTGCCCCCTCTGCTCGCTGCATGTTTTCTTTAGTGTCCACTCTTTGGCTCTGGGAGAGGGAGAGTGCAGGGTCATTTCCAAGGCACAGTTAGTTCTCCCAGCACATTAGCCCCAAGCCAAGGCTAGAGTTCAAAGTAAGTCTGACCCCTGTTACAACTACCATTCATCTCTGTCCTTTTACCCTCTCTAGGATAAGAAGTATGCTAGTGACAAGTACAAAGACATCTACACAGAGCTCAGCATTGCGAAGGCCAAAGCTGACTGTGATATCAGCAGGTTAAAAGAACAGCTGAAAGCAGCCACAGAGGCCCTGGGCGAGAAGTCTCCTGAGGGCACTACCGTGTCAGGATATGGTAAGCAATCCGTGTGCTACTCATAAAGGTTCTTTTGGCACTTCGATCAAAGCCCAAAAATTCATATCTCCTTGAGGGGTCCCACATGCACAGGTTGCCCAGAGGACCCACTCCTCCCATGTCCTGCAGCTGCTTTACAGAGCTTCTCCCATAGTAACAAGGGGTCTTATAGTCTGTCTTCTGAGAAACTCCAGCAGGTAGGGGAAGTTCTTGCTAGTTCCTTGATCCAAATGTTTTACCATAAAACCTTCGAGGGCCATAGACAAGCAGAATAGAGAGAACCTACTACCCTCTCGAGAGCAGTGGAACTGGCCTTTATCTGCTGGCTGAAAATACCCAGGCACTGTGGAGGATAGACGGAAAAGAGGCTGCAGAGCCATATTCTGTTGGACACTTTCTGATAATTCATGATTTCATCTTGCCTTCATGGTGGCCCTTCTTTATAAAAACCCCACAAACTGAAAATCTGTTCAAGTCCCGTGATACCCTGAGAGAGACTCAGCTTTCCTACACCAGTGTACAGGAACAGTGACGATGACGATGACAATGACAGCCCTCACGTGTGCCTTCAGACAGTCCTCTGCATTGTGGGTGGGGTACAAACAGCCACTCTGCTGGAAGGCACTGGCAACGACAGAACAATTTCAAATCTAACTAACTGGATTGTCACCTGGGTAGGAAACCAAGAAGCCAAGGCATTAGAGGGAGGAAGCTCTTGAGCTGCCATGATAACTAACCTCTGAAAAGTGTGCGAGGGTACTGCATCTGCAGACAGGCTCCACAAGCAGCAGTCCACACACAGTGTACAGAGTGTGGAGAGTCATCCTGGACAGCAGTCCACACACAGTGTACAGAGTGCCGAGAGTCACCCTGGACAGCAGTCCACACACAGTGTACAGAGTGTGGAGAGTCACCCCTGGACAGCAGTCCACACACAGTGTACAGAGTACGGAGAGTCACCCCTGGACAGCAGTCCACACACAGTGTACAGAGTGCGGAGAGTCACCCTGGACAGCAGTCCACACACAGTGTACAGAGTGCGGAGAGTCACCCCTGGACAGCAGTCCACACACAGTGTACAGAGTGTGGAGAGTCACCCTGGACAGCAGTCCACACACAGTGTACAGAGTGTGGAGAGTCATCCTGGACAGCAGTCCACACACAGTGTACAGAGTGCGGAGAGTCACCCTGGACAGCAGTCCACACACAGTGTACAGAGTACGGAGAGTCACCCTGGACAGCAGTCCACACACAGTGAAAACTGAGACTGTTAGAAGCTGCACAGTGACAGAGTGTTGAGTTCTTAGGAGGACAGGGAGATGTTTTTGTGTTGATGAAGAGAAATGGTGACATTTTACTGCACAAGTATGAAAGCCCCATACCCATGACATACTGTGGTGTGACCCAGTGTGCATCTTTGTTATCTGCATTGAAGACACTAAACGACTGTTGTCTTGATGGGGTGGTTCATGAGAAGACTATGGTCTGATTTTATTTGATACCAGTCCTATTTGATGCCAGGAGTAAGCTAGAAATATTGAGGCCTGCCCAGCAAGTCAAGGTCCACCTCAGAAATAAGAGACCCTATCCTCTGCTGACAGTGCTGTGTGGCTCAGGAGCTGTGACTTAAACCCTGGCAGGAACCCAGCGCCCTGGTGCTTCCTGGTGTCCAAGAAGGGCATACTGTGGATTGGCTGTTTACTGGGATTTAAATGTCTTGGTGTACTGTAGTAGTGGACTTGGAACCTCCCACGTGGTTTGTTTGGTTTCAGAAGATTGTAGAAAGCAAAAGTAATGAGCCTTTTGTTTCCTTCAGACATAATGAAATCTAAAAGCAATCCTGACTTCCTGAAAAAAGACAGATCCTGTGTTACCCGGCAACTCAGAAACATCAGGTCTAAGGTGAGTGAAGTCCAGCTTATCGTTGAGGTGGGGCTTGAGGATGCTGGAGAAATGAAGCCCAGTACAGGCACTAGCCCACCTGTGTAGTTACTCTGTTGGGATGATTCTAATGGCTTCAAGTTCCATGTCCATGTCTGTGTTCCATGTCATCAGAACCATCTAGAGGTCAGGGTTTCAAGAAGCAAGACATGGAGGAATTCAGACATAAGCCTCATCTGTGGGGTAGATCTGACCTCATCAGCTCCACTGTATGTCTGTTCTCTGCACATCCCTGTTACCTCACTGACACTGCCAGCCTTGGAGAGATGAAGTCAGCAGTCCCCAGTGTGCTCTCAGATGGGCGTGTCTCTGGGAGGATGGGCGGAGAGGGCCTGGCCAGCATGCTGCATTTAGAACTGATTGTGTGTGTGTCTTATTTTTGCTCTTTCCTCTGACAGTCCGTAATTGAGCAGGTCTCATGGGATAACTGAGTCGCGCCCGCTTCCAAGTCCCCTGTCATGTAGGTAAACCACTTCCCACTCTGCCCACTACCCGCCCAGGCGGCTCTGCATGCACTGCTCACACCTCCATAGCACACCTCTGTGTAATATCTTCATTCATCCTTCTCCAACACACACACACATACACATAGTCCACATGAGATCTCAGTAACTAACTGTTCTGGAAGTTGGCACGCTAACCTCTTCACAGAGCTGAGCCTACCCGACAGGAGGGCACAAGCCAGCATGCATACTTGGTGATTTGCACGGCACCAAGTTCATGTCTCCTCTTGGAAACAAGTTGCAGGGAGATGGCAGATACCCACTGACTCTGGCGAGCAGTTTGCTCTTGTGCAAGACCTCACCCATCCAGTTCGTAGCAAGGCTGCCTGGGGGAGATGCCTGCAGATCAAGCAGATCCCCGTAGTGCCGTTCTGCATGGAACTGATCAGTACTGCATAGGTAGAATCTGAGAACGTATTTTGTCCTAAGGACCTGGCAACCTTATACACGGGGGCTAAACATGACCTGTGTTTTGTTGTTGTTTTGTCTTTACAAAACAAAAAGCCTGTCTCCCATAGAAGGTGGTAAGGTTGGCATGTTGAGGTCAGTGTTAGGGACTTTTATACAGTGGTAACAGCTCAAGGATTCCGGCCTGTTGTTCCCACTGGTAGTATCCAGGTGTGCCCATTCCTGCTATACATGAGCCCTCCCACCTTCCAGCAAGGGCCATTAGCTTGAGACTCCGAGAAAACAGGTTTGTCTTAGGGAAAAGTATTGAGAAAGCCAAAGAGTTTTAACATTGGCTCTTTTTGGTGGGGAGGTTGGGGTTCAAGACAGGGTTTCTCTGTGTATCCCTGGCCATCCTGGAACTCACTCCGTAGACCAGGTTGGTCTCAAACTCAAGAGATCCACCTGGCTCTGCCTTCTCAATGCTGGGATTAAAGGCGTGCGCCACCACCACCCAGCGTCATTGGTTCTTTTAACCAGTCTGTTTTTGTTTTCTCTAGTCCCAAATTAACTTACGTGTAGGTGTGGTTTAAGCAAGATAAAAAAAACTTGGTTTAGGGTTTTTCCTAAAACTTTAAAAACAAAGTTTTCTTTGGTGAGAGAGGAAGCCTTTCTAGGCTCATTCTTTTCATATTGGAGACTCTTTTCTCCAGCCTGAGGTTGAACTCATCTCTTGTCCTTGAGCCCTCAGAAATATAGTGGTCGCTGTGAATAAGTGGGGCCTTTGGGTCAGAATAAAAAAGGACATCCGGGGAGGACACCATGTGGAAAGATATGCATTGGGGTATACCAACTACCTATGAATTTGTAGGGATGTGAACACAGACACGGAGCTCAGTATCTGGTGGGGGTGATACTGGGAACAAGGAGCCTCTGTTCTAGCTAGATCTCTATGGCAAAGACAGCCACGAGAGCTGGTGGGGGCTTCTGTGCTTGGCGGGGTTACTAGAGTCATACAGTGCTAGGGTTCCTCTATGCTGACAATCACTAGAGCCAGGCAGGTGGGAAAGGCAGGTTTCCAGGAGAGTAGAGGAGACCCAGGAACTGCTTCTCACTTATTTGTTAGTATTTGCATAGTGGTGCAGTTCTGTTGTTGTGCTTTAGATCCAACTCAGAATAACACATCCCCACTGGGCAAGTTGGGCCAGCCAGGCATGGTAGCAGCATGCCCATGCTGTCTTTGTGCACCTGGCGCTCCCACCGATCCTGTTAAGAGAGACTGAAACCTGTGCCATGCCCTGAATGGGACCTTCTGTGGGTACTGTTTCATTTTCTACTTCAGTGTTCATGGCAGCACTATGGCCTCTTCAGAGATCCAGAGCAGAGAGGATTCTCCTCAGTGTTATCATGGGGTGGGTGTGGGATGCTGAGCCCTGAAGGTAACTGGCTACACCTGAGGCCAGAAGGAGGCCAGAGACTTCGGAGAGATGGCACTTCCCAGGGTGTAGGGGACAGTGGGTCTTGTCTGCACTCTGCCCTGAGAATGGTAGTGAGTGCCATGCCTGGGCTTACCCTGCTTGGGGTTCTGATGCCATCTAGAGCCACTGTGGCCATCCAGGGCCTACTCAGTTGCTAGGTGGTAAGCCAAAAGACCAATGTAACATCTCTTGGGAGTCTGGCTGCCATGGAACTACTTAAATTCAGGAGAGGGGCCGGGTGGTGGTGGCGCACGCCTTTAATCCCAGCACTTGGGAGGCAGAGCCAGGCGGATCTCTGTGAGTTCGAGGCCAGCCTGGGCTACCAAGTGAGTTCCAGGAGAGGCGCAAAGCTACACAGAGAAACCCTGTCTCGAAAAACCAAAAAAAAAAAAAAAAAAAAAAAATTCAGGAGAGGGGACTTCAAGGTACCCTGAAGCAAGTATGGGTATCACAGTTCACATACACATAATTTGTTAGTTTAGAAACAATACTCGTTAAGGGACAGCCTCAGCTATATGAGAACCTATCTCAAATGAAACGAAACAAGAAACAACTCAGTTATGGGGAAAGTGGTAAGGGGCACAAACCACAGCCCAGATCCTCCCTCATTGCCTGCAGAAAGCTGAGCCTCCAGAAACCTCCAGAAACACCCCTGGCTTCCCATATCCTAGTAACAGCCTGCATTCATGGCCAGGCTGAGCCTGACACCAATACTGATTACCAAGAGTCGGTACTGAGGAGCCAGAGCCAGACCTGAGCATGCTGAAATACGTTCATTGCCAGTTCTCTAAGAACTGGGGTTTCTTTTCTCTTCTAGAAATGAAAGCTTTGGGGAAGATGTTTAAGGGAGGAGTGGTCAATGTTCTGTTCCTCAGTAAAATGTCCTCCTTTACCTTAAGAAATAAACACAGGAAAACAGCTGGAGTGAGTGTGTGTGTGTGTGTGTGTGTGTGTGTGTGTGTGTGTGTGTGTGTGTGTGTGTGTGTGGATGATGATAGCTATATCTGGTGGCCTCCTCAGGGATGCCTGGGGTAGAGCTATAACGTCACTAGGATGCCCCAGGAGAGAGCACTTGTTTTAAGGTCATGAGTTGATGAAGACAGGAACGAGACGTGCATATTGCACGTGTGACAGGTGGCCAGGCTTCCAGTTCTCAGCCCAAGTTTTCCGTGATTTGGTCAGACTGAAGAACCAGCCCCCTAAGGCCAGAGTTGAACTATGTGGACACATGATCTTGTTCTCTTTATTTTTCCCCTTTCTCACCTAAGTCAATTTCTGCAGGAAAAAGCAAACTCCAGTAACACTACTTCTCAGGGCCTTCTGCCCTCGCATGCCCACTAATCTCAGGATCCCTCAGCCTCACCCCTGCACCTACTTCTGAAGCCCAACTGCCGCTGCTTCACAGCACCTGATTGCTTCTTCTCCGCTCTGTCTCCACCAGAGTCTGAAGGAGGGCCTGACAGTGCAAGAGCGCTTGAAGCTCTTTGAATCCAGGGACTTGAAGAAAGACTAGCTGCGGCCTGTTCCACCTGACACATCCTTCCCAGCTGGTGGCAGCACAAGCCGAGTGTGGTTTTCATCTGCATCTGTGCTTTTCCCTGTTGCCGTCATTACTGTGGGTATGGATGCATGAGAGACTGCTGTGTGGGGTGTTGGCTCCATTCCCTTCCCTGTTGACTCCCACTTCCCAGTATCCTTATCACTGCTTTTCACCGTGGTATTCTCAGATTAGTCACGCTCAAGCAGTAGTGGGGAGGGCTTCCCCACCGACATCTGAGCAGGACCCCTTTGTCCTCCCCACACTCACTGTCAGTATTAAGGCACAGCAGCCTGTTAATAAGCTAGCCCTGCCTCGGAGTAGACATGTGGGGACCTGCCAGTGGCTCCGCTCTACAGCACACAGCTGAGCACCACCCCTGCTGGTTAGAGCAGAGCCACCGAATGTTCTAGTCTGGCCTGGTTGTTGAGGGGCCTTGGATGGTGTCCAGCCTGCCCCCACTTCCTTTCGACCTGGGAGGACAGCATTTTGTATATGGCCCACTGATGCAGCTTAGAACCATACCCCAGATAATCCTGGCAGGTCTTTCTCCACCTGGAAAATGTTGAAAGCAACCATTCCTATTTTGGTTTTGTATTAAATCTTGCACAAAAGCCCCGGCCCTCTCCTTCCTTCCTCCGCTCGTGCCTCCCTTGGTATGCTAACCCTGGCAGCTGGGAATGGTGACCTGCAGCTGCACCTTCAGGCTTGTCAAGTGTGATGATCCCTCCCCTGGTCCTCAAGAGGAGACAAATTGCTGGGGTTTAACCTGAGAAGTTGTCGGGGTTGCTTGGGGAAGGGATGAGAGGAGACCTGTATGTGAAGACAGGCTAGTAAGAACAGCAACATGTGCTCAGGACTCTTGATTTTTCTGAGCTCTGGAAGGTTCCCTTAAAGTGTCTGCTTCTCATGGAGCCATAAACTGGGAGCCTGTGCTAAACAAGTTTGCTCTTCTAGCTAGCTGAGCAGGACCTTTCTAACTACCTAAAGCATTCTACAGTGTTTCTTTTAAAAACAAAAACTTAGAGGTTTCTGTTCTCATTAAAAAAAACATTTATACCATAAGATGCAGCACACAAGAGAGTCCCCGTGTCTGAGGGGAGAGTCAGTGGCTTCACAACTACATCCTGATGTCCTGAGCCCCAGGTTCCTGGCTCAAGTTTCCACTCTGTTAGTATTGAGAAGGTTAAGTGGTCTCTCCGTGCACAAGTTCATCTCATGTATGAATCCCCTCAGTCATTCTACATGAGTTATGTTCAAGGTCATCCACAGTGTCTAGCCAGCCTTGAAGTAGACAGGCAAAACCCGAAAGATAACTGCGCTGTTTGTGACATATCCAAGTGTGCTTCTGCCCCACAGACAAGCTTTGGGCACATCCCCTTTGCACAAGTTTTTACGTTCCTCACTAGCACAGCTACCATTTGTGTTTTCAGCATTGGGCAAGTCAGATCTGTTGAAAACAAGCTGCTGCTGAAACTGTTTGGAGCTCACAGAGGGCCACGGAGCAGCATGTGCCTGGCTGGGTTGCAGGGGCTTAGTCTGTGTTGAGGACTACTCTTCTCTCTGGTGTACTTCCTTTTCAGCTGTCCTGCTGCCCTTGGGGCCCTCTAGCCCCAGTACAATCATCTTCCTGCCGTGCCACAGAGCCTTCTGAAGATGCCAAGCCTGTAGGTCAAAAGAACATTTACTTTTTGCTCTTCAACTTAAAACCCTTGGATATGACCTTTGCTAAGTACAGTACCTGGGAGTCAGAGGGAAGGGCTGGGAGATAAGCTGCATCTATCTCTTCTGCCACTCAAGCTTCCACTGAAATTCCCCTTGCCATGATACAGCACACTCCACTCTAGGACTGATTTCATGTGTGGGTGTTTGGTGTGTTGGCCAGATACTGAACTGGCACAATACAGGGATGCCTGGATCATCTCCCACCACCCAAGCACTCTGAGCAATAACACGGGATCAGGATGCATCTTGAGTTTCTTGGCAGTGACATTTGGCAGAAGTGAACCAGGAAAGAAGCTGGTCTTCTGTGTCCCTGGTGGCCATATAGGCCCACTGCAGCATTTTACCTTGGACTGCTGCTGTCCTCTGTCAATTCCCTTCCCCCAAGCTGGGCTGGGCTCACTTTTGCCTGACCTCCTTACAGGCATGCCATTACCCCTAGAAAGAAGCTGAAGTTGGTGTATTCCAGAGAGGAGGCATCGAACGTACAAGTAGAGTTGGTCCAGCCATCAGTAGAGGAGGATGCTTGGCTGAGGATGGGGTAGTGTAGATGGGGTACAGGAAGACTCAGGCTGTTCCCAGCCCAGTCAGTGGCATGCTTCCCTATTTCATGGTGGGAGCAGCATTAAAATGAATAGACTTTAGAATTTTATTTTCTTTTTATTTCTTTTATTTTCTTATACATTTGTAATCTGCCAGCATCTGCAAGCAAACTGCCATTACAGGGAACTACTTGACGTCATTTGACAAATGATGTGAACACATGCTTAAATTCTATCTTGCACCTGGTGTGGTGCCCAGCACCCGAGCAGAAAGCACATCTGTCACACAGGGCTGCAGATTCTCCAGTATGGTTGTGTCCACAGAGCCAGGGCCATAATGGGAGGCCCACTGTTTCAGGGGGAGCAGAGGAGGCCAGAGCCTCATAAAGTAGGGAATCACCAGAGGGAAGAAGGCTGGGAGTGTGTGAATTCACTGAGGGAAAGCTAAAGTCAGAGTTGAACCTCCACAGGATCCATCAGAACACTGAACTAGATGTAGTGGTTTATGTCTGTACTCCTAGCTGGACTATGTAACAAGGCTCTGACTAAAATACAGATGGGCTAAGTAAGGGTGTATATATAGCTTAATAATGCTAGAGCAACCGACCTAGCATGTGTAAGGCCTAGGCTTCAACTACAGCATTACAAAGAGCACCCTTGTGAACTTGAGAACATGTGTCGAAAAAGGAGCCTGAGAGAGATTTGACTAGGCAACCAAACTGGTGTAAAAGGTTTTGATGGGATGTGTACTACTGCTAACTTCCCACAGAGGGAGCTAGTGCACTGTCTTCTACCTGGTACTGCAGAGACCGGAACCCACTCCTCACCGCTGACACCTAGCTGGTGCTGAGAGAAGTGGCTGGATACCACACAGCCTGCACTGTGTGTGTGAACCTGGGCATCAGTGCAGAGCTTCCTGCAGGCCTGTCCCACACACCAAGTGGTCTTTCTCCTGATCTCCAGCCATACCCTGGCTTCCAAGAACAGACTGGATAAGCACCCAGAGGCCCCATGCAACCTGACATCAGGGAGAACTCTGGGGTCCCCACTCCTGCCTCCATGTGAGTATTCAGTGCAAGCTGCACACCAGTCAGCTGGCAGCTACAGGTAGACTCAGCCCCCAAATGCACAGTAACACCCTGTCCCCAGACTCTGCTGGTAGAGGGGACACTAGTTACCTCCCAGCTGACTGGCTGCACCTTGCAGAGCAAGAGGGTTAGCATTTCTTGCTATGCTGCAAAAACGTCACCTTCTCAGCTAGTAATAGACGACCAGTGCAGGGCTGCATACAGCCTTTCTCAAGGGAGCTCCCAGCATAGCACAGGGGGGCACTTGACCTTTCCTGTATATCGGAGCAAGTAATGTTAAGTATTTCTAAGATATGACACAGGGATTTCAGCGCAGGGTTGGTGTGAGCTTTTAAAACATCTTGTCTAGACACCCCTTTAGGAGGTGTGTAGGGCAGTGTTGGAGTTAGCTAGATATGGTGGCTTACACATTTACTCCAGCACTTGGGAGGCAAAGGCAGAAACAAGCTAAGTTCAAGACCAGCCTGGTCTACATACTGAGTTCCATAAGTATCAGGGCTACATAGTGAAATCCTGTCTAAAAATAAAACCCAAACAACAAAAAAGACGGAATTAGTAACTAGTGTCTTTAAGGGTTGTACTTACTTGACAGATGCTTTGCAGAGTATCCCCTTAACCCACACTCATGGCAAGCCCTTAGCAGTGCCCTGGTTCTTACTAAAAGCATTCTGAGACTTGTGTAGAGTCACTCAAGAAAAACCAGGAATATGAATGAGGACTTTTTGGCACCCAGCCTTCAGGCTTCTTAGTGTATTTTGTTAGGGGAACTGGCTGGGGTCATAGGCTGCTTCAGGTCCACGTGCCTAGCTTCTGACAGAGCTGCGGGGCTGGACTGTGTTCAGAGCAGCCTGGCCGCCAGTCTATCCAGCTGCCTGGCTATATACAGCATGGGAGTGCAGGAAGCTCCCTGGCTGTATTTCTGTGACACTGGTAAGGAGCCAGCCCATCAGTAGAGAGTTTAAAAACTGAAGGACTTCACATCCTCTCCAGTTTCTGTGGGTCACAGGTGAGTCTGGTGCAGCTTCCATGGTGGGGCAAGACTCCGTAGCCAGCCTTGGCCATAAAGAGGTGCGTGCAGTTGTGAGAATCCTAGCTGACAGCCCACTCCAGCTTGCCAGTCAACATGCCCTTGGCTCATCTCTCCTTTAGAAGTTAGCCAGACCACACATCTAATTTTATTTTAGCTAGGAATAGACTGTAAAGAACACTAAATTCACTATTAGTTTCCATCACAAACTTCAATTTAAATGGATTTTAAGTCACTTTAAGATTTACCTTTGGTATTAATGCCAGGATTCAAAACCAGTTCTGTGGTACTTAACCCATGTGGCTTTCTGTAGGTGTGTTATGTAGAATATCAAGCATCCCAGTCACAGTGGCTCCTTGACAATCAGAACTCTGGGTAACCTTCCATTACAGTGCTTGACTGGGGCTGGGCTGCACGTCTGCAAACAGGCACCTCACAGGGCCACTTCGCAGCACTCACAGGCTTGGGCCATCTCACCTGCTATTTGGTTTCTGTTCTGATACATCAGTCTGGTTGCCAGACTGAAAATTACATGTAGAAGAAAAATGGAGCCTCACCGAGCCAGGGAGGCTGTGAGCACAGCTTCCCAGAACAAGCTTAGGCCTCAGTGTATGTGCACAGGGTGTGGCCTTCCAGCAGATAAGGTGTCCCCAAATCCTCATTCAAACATTTTATGATTCAGTGTGAGGTGTTTCCTACAAAGTTTGTGGTCAGGTGTTCACTACAATTGAAATGTTAATTTGTAGAAATATTTATTCCTTTGTGTGACAAGCTAGAGTCCTTGGCTGTAGCTAACCATTTTTATTGTGTAAATACTGCTTGATTTTACATGAACTGTATCATAATAAACTATTTTTGCATTGCCCTCTGCACGCATATGGGTGCTGACTCAGCCAGCGAGGACCAGAAGAACCTCCAGTCTAGTCATAAACTCACTAGCAGCCCAGAAGTCACCTGTGTTTCTCACCTGCTGCTTTCCTTTTAGTGTCTTGGAGGTTTTTTGTTTTGTCTTTTGTTTTTGTTTTCACATTTTCACACATAAGCCATAATATTTTATGTCTAGAACCTAAGGTACTTTGACTTGGTATAGAAACTTCAGGGGTTAAAATAATAGTAAAAAATTCCAGCAAGGATTCCTTCATTAATCAAGGTACCATAACTGTCTTGTGTTTTTATTTTGTGGTGCTGGAGGACCCAGGGCCTCAGGCATGCTGGACAGTCCCTCTACCACACAAGCCCTGGAGTAGAGCTCAGGCTGGCCTCATCTCCAGTTCACTGAGTACCAGTGTGCACCACTACATCGGACCTGTCCTTCATGAGTTTACTTGCAATATAATTATGCCTGTGTTTCTTAAAGCATCATAATATAGACATCATAAAATAGACAACACAAAATTCAACAAAACAGTGTTTGCTAATTATGGTATATTCTTGGTGTTTGTTGGATTTTTTTTTAACTTTTTGTTCATTAAATTTAGAATAATAAACTAGGCCAGACATAATGGCAGCCAGCCTGGGGTACACAGCAAGACCCTATCTATCCCCATAACCCCTCAAAAGATAATAACTGGTTTTTTTCCCCAATATTGTCACAGACTTTATACTAAAAGTCTGTGAAACTGACTGGAAATACAAAAAAAAAAAAAAAAAATGTTTCTACACCAATTAGAAATCAACTTTAGTTTATATTTATAAAACAGTAAAACAAAGATATAAAAAGACATGAAAGAATAAATATTTTGGGGCTGGAGAGATGGCTCAGAGGTTAAGAGCACTGACTGCTCTTCCAGAGGTCCCGAGTTCAATTCCCAGCACTCACATGGTGGCTCACAACCATCTGTAATGAGATCTGATGCCCTCTTCTGGCCTGCAGTCATACATGCTGTATACATAATAAATAAATAAATCTTTAAAAAAAAAAAAAGGGCTGTGGTGGCGCACGCCTTTAATCCCAGCACTGAGAGGCAGAGCCAGGCAGATGTCTGTGAGTTCGAGGCCAGCCTGGTCTACAGAGTGAGATCCAGGAGAGGCACCAAAACTACACAGAGAAACCCTTTCTCAAAAAAAAAAGAATAAATATTTTTAGTATGTTATTGCAATTGTTTAGGGACTTTTCAATAGCTGTTTGCCCATTAAAAACTATTACAAACAAGCCGGGCGGTGGTGGCGCACGCCTGTAATCCCAGCACTCAGGAGGCAGAGGCAGGCGGATCTCTGTGAGTTCGAGGCCAGCCTGGACTACCAAGTGAGTTCCAGGAAAGGCGCAAAGCTACACAGAGAAACCCTGTCTTGAAAAACCAAAAAAGAAAAAAAAAAAAAAAAACTATTACAAACAAATGTATATGAAAAAAAAAGCTTTGGGGAACTAGCCTGATATGAGTGCAATTTAAAATTAGTTGTCAAGTTGATCACTCTTTCATTAAAATTTTAAAAATGGGGGAGGGGCACACCTTTAATCCCAGCACTTGAGAAGCAGACGTAGGTAGATCTGAGTTCAAGGCCAGCCTGGTCTATAGAGTGAGTTCCAAGACAGCCAGGGCTACACAGAGAAACAACAAAAATCAAAAACCAGGAACAGAAAAAGAATCACCCTCCCCACCAAACTGATCACACTCAGTAATTAAAGACTGACATTTCCCTAGGATTGGGATTTTGATGAAGACATCTTTTCCCCACTTCCATTCAAAGAAATGGGTACAAAGGATCTAGCCCAAGCAGTCCATTGAGAAAGAGGCACTTGAACTGAAAGAGAATAAGTAAAACTGTTCCTTTTGAATGAGATCTGTGTATTGTTGATGTTAGCTATCAAATGTGGGACAAATGGCTGAGATGCATATTAACATATCAAAGATGATGGTGGCCAGCTGCCGCCTCCCCAGCCCCCAATCACTCAGTCCCTGTGACTCCTCCCAGTACTCAACCTGCCCCACCCTAAACCTCTTCCTGGCGGGGAATAGGGTTTCCACTTCCCTTCCCCTAGCCTGATCCCTCTATATCCCTATATCTGTAATCCTCAGCCATTTTGGGTACTCTGGTCTTGGTTTCTTGGTCAGTGGCTCCTCATCTTTAGCCTGCCAGCCATGTTCAGCCTGGACTCTGCCCTCCGCCTGCTTTCTCCTTCATACCTACAATAAAATCTTCTCCACACTTTAGGAGTAGTCGTGTCCTCCTCTTATTTTATTTTTTCATTCAGTTAACACTGCTGAATTCAGAAAGGTAGGATACAGGGCTCAACTGTATTTCTACACAGTAGTTCTGAAGACTGGAACAAATTAAGCAATTCCATTTACAGTAACATACTCAAATAATACTCAAAACTGCAAACACTGATGTGAGATACTTCAGCCAAAAAAAAAAAAAAATGGGAAAAAAACAACAACCCAAACTAGATGGGCCGGGCGGTGGTAGCGCACGCCTTTAATCCCAGCACTTGGGAGGCAGAGCCAGGCAGATCTCTGTAAGGCCAGCCTGGGCTACAAAGCGAGTTCCAGGACAGGCTCTAAAGCTACACAGAGAAACCTTGTATTGGGGTTATTTTTTTTTAAAGATCTCTTTATTTATTATGTATACAGAAGAGGGCGCCAGATCTCATTACAGATGGTTGTGAGCCACCATGTGGTTGCTGGGAATTGAACTCAGGACCTCTGGAAGAGCAGTCGGTGCTCTTAACCTCTAAGCCATCTCTCCAGCCCGTATTGGGGTTATTTAAAAAAAAAAAACAAGAGCCGGGCGGTGGTGGCGCACGCCTTTAATCCCAGCACTCGGGAGGCAGAGCCAGGCGGATCTCTGTGAGTTCGAGGCCAGCCTGGGCTACCAAGTGAGTTCCAGGAAAGGCGCAAAGCTACACAGAGAAACCCTGTCTCGAAAAACCAAAAAAAAAAAAAAAAAAAAAAACAAATCTCAAACCAGATGGAAAAGACTTAAAATTATCAACACCAGCATTAAAAGGTCAAAAATCCAAGCAAGTAGAGAAGTGTATTGAACAACCCTGGGCACTACTGGTAAATTAAGCCCAAAGGTGGGAAAAGAGGAAGGAGAAACAAGCACAGTTGATGCCAAGTACCACCGTTAATCCAGACTGACTTGTTTTCACCTCAGCCCCTTCTCCAGCCTGGCCGTCCACCCCGGCAGGCTGGGAAGTGGCTCTTCATTTCCTAATGTTTTTCTTTCCCTTGGGATTCCAAGAACCTGCTGCTTTCTCTTAGGAATGTGTCATCTCTTTGGTCTGTAATTACTATTGTGTCTCCTTGGCTACCCAATACATTTGTGAGTGAACAAAAAACCTACAAGCATCAAGAGAAATTAAAGATATCCACACTCATGGGTCAGAAAACTCAAGATGGTAACCCCAACTTAATCTACAGGTCAACATAATCCCTATCAAAATCTTAGATGCTTTTTTAATTTTTTTCCAGAAATTGGTGTGTTCATTTTAAGATTCACATGGAGATGTAAAAGACTATGTTGGAAACAGGATTCATGTTGCCAGTTCTCAAAATATATTACTGCTATTCTTACTAATAATCTAGACTGCTGCTGGCATTACCACATTGAGACAATGCAGAGCCCAGACATAAACCAAATGAATGGTCAGTTGGTTTTCAACAAATGTTTTAATACCATTCATTAGGGGAAGTCATCTTAAACTGGTACTGAGACAAGTGAGATATCCACATGTACTATGCCCCTACCTCATAGCACTCAAAGTGGATGTGATAGTACATACATGTAATACCAGTACTTAGAAAGTGGAGGCAGGAATCTAAGGCCAGCCTCAGGGCCATACTGAGTTTGTGGCCAGCCTGGTCTAGTGAGACTGTCTCAAAACAAAAATAGATAAATATATGAAGTAATGTCACTTCACAAGTCTTCACACATTCCTGCAGGTAACAAGGCTACCTAACCCCTGACAGCCACAATGATGCCATGTGGATACCAGCCTTCTCTGGAAGGGATGGGGACAGGAGTCAAGGAAGATACACACCGTCAGGCAGATGACAGAGAGAAACAGGCTACTAGGAATCATGCTTTGATTTTTTTTTTTTTTTGAAGGTCTGGAAATAGTACCAGAGAGTAGCTGGGGTGTTTAGAAAACACACTAACCAGGAGGTGGCTACTATACAGTGCTATTGCTCTCCCAGGGACTCCGGTATTCACCACAGGGGTCTCCATAGCCGTATACCACCCCCACAATGTATTTTAAGAGCAGCCACATTTGAATGCAGCAGGCTAAGGCAGACAGGTAGTAGTCTATATTCTAAAGTAATATTTATTGAAATATGCCACCAGTCCAAGGTCCCCAATGGCACTGTCACTCAAAGGACATTTTGTGATCTCCCCCCACCAGAGCACACACTTAGGAATTCACGAGCTCCAGAAGGAAAGGAACTTATCCAACATAACTACTTCTGAGTATTATACTTTATAGTGTCTGTTAAATCTTTTGGAAAATCAACATCAAGTTTGCTTGTCTTAACACTAAGTAAAAGGTAACATTTAAAAGGGTGAAAATAGCTGGGCATGGTGGCACATGCCTGTAATCCCAGTTCCTGAGGCAGAATCAGAGAGATCTCTGAGTTGAAGACCAGCCAGGGCTACATGGTGAGACTCTATCTTCCTGCCCCCTTCCCAAAAAAGAAAGAAAACACCTGTATTAGCAGCATCTGCTGCTAATGGTTCCATGAGCTAGAGGACACTTCATCTATTCAGACTGACTTTGAGGGGCCTCATGGAGCTTGTCACACACACAAGCATGAACAATGACAGAACTAGCTCATGTCACTTGAGCTACTTGCATATAAAAACAAAGTAATCTGGAACATGTCACACAAATGCGTATGAGAAACTTGTTCCTCTGACTCCCTGGGATGCCCACACAGAGCTGAGATCACAGCCTGGGCAGCTCTTCTTACCTCCCTTGGTCATCAACTCCTGATCCATGACTGAGCAAAAAGCCATGAGTCCACGGGTGCTAGAGCCGAGGTCACTTCTAAGTCACAGTATTGCTCTAATGTGAGGGACATGGAAAATTAAAGGCGCCTGGACATGGGCAGGCATGGCCACCTCGAAGTGCTCACCGGTGACTAACACTGCCAGGCTACAAGGCCAGTTGCAGAGGGTCAGTACTATCAGACATGTCGAGTGATGCCCAGAAGCCACTTGAAGAGGATGGCCTGCCTATCTCGACAACTACTGCTACAGGACAGCCTACAGCCCTGCCCACTCTGTCGCCTCCTTCCTGACTTCTGATGGGGATGCAAGGACAAGACGACTTAGCAGCCCAGTGCACCCAGGACTGCCCCCTGCCAGGAAAGGCTTTTCCACAGCAGGAGGGAACCTCACAAGAGCAAGCTGGAAGACTGAGCAAGACAGAGCAGGGTCAGTGCCCTCGCTGCTTTTGGGGGAAAAAGCTGTACTTGGTGGGGTCAAATTCTTCCCAGATGCGCTCAAACTCCTCCAGGAACAGCCGCACATACTCAGTGTCCTCCATAATCAGAACGTTCTCACGGTTGTTCTGGATGGCCTGTGTGGTCCAATTGAGGGAGCCAGTGATGAGCACCTTCTTGTCAATGATGGCAAACTTATGGTGCATGTAGCCGAGGTCCTGGTCATGCCGTACCTGTATACCTGTAGAGCCAAGGCAGCCTTTATTATGCCCACGCAGGTGCAGCTACCCCCAAGCCTGCTGATGTCCTCTGTTGGCTCCACAAGGAAACCCAGGGGCTGTCCCAGGGTGGTACTGAGAAGACAGGGAGAAGGCAGTCTGTCATCCAGGTCAGTACACAGAAAGCAAGGACTCTGGATGACACCAAACACTTCTCTGGGGAACAACCCACCCACGCCAGCTCCGCTAAGCCTGTGTCTAAATGCTACCTCAGAATCCTTCAGAGAAAGGAGTCAGACGTGTGACACACCCTTGCTGTTCTTGTCACTCACTGGATAGATAAGCGGGAGGGCAGAAGCCTAGGCAGGAAAGGAGTGCACATTGACTTTGGCTGGCCAACTTGAGTTACACCTCCCAGGGTGCCTCACTAGCTGAACAGAAAGAACTGGGCCACATCCTAACCTGCTACCCTCACCAAAGTTCTGGCTTTGGCTTCCTTCCTTTTGAGGGTATGTTGTTTGGCAGGGATGTTGGGGTGAAACCCAGGCCCTTCACATGCTGGGTAAGTGATCTGCCTGTCTTTACTCCACTTCTGCCCTCACTCCATCCAGCTCCCGCCGCCATCACAGCAAAGGATGGCAGCATCACCTCACTGCAGACCACCTGTAGTCAGTCCCCAGCAGCTAGTTCATGACTTGGGCACATCACGCTGTCCCCGGATGCCTCTGCAGCTATCCTAGCCACCTCACTTCCTTTTTGATCTTTGTGAAGTTTTCCAGACTTTTTTGAGTTAGGCGTTTTCCTACAAGTACCTGACTGTACCAAACACGGACACAATGGCACACTTGTTGATGGAACAATCTGGAACTCACCCAGCTGTGGCCAGAACATCAGTGGAAGTTCCATCTGTGATGGCAGTTTGGTTCTTTCCAAATCTAAGGTTTTGTGACTCACCAAAATCTAAATACAGTGACATCACCCATGCCCGATATCTACTTGTCCACCCACCAAAATGACCTGACTGGAGATCACTCTGTGACTGCCAGTGAGGGGGCAGGGAGTCGCCATGGTGCTTCTGCTGTGGGTGAGACAGCAGGTTGGTGCTATGGTGCCCTTCCCAATTTGCTGCCTGAAGCAGATCTGGTTTCCAAAGCCTACACTATCCTGGGGACTAGGAGGGCAGGCTGTGTGCAAGGAAAACTCAAGAGCACCGCAAAGCCTGAACATTTCCCAGGGGCTCCCCAAACCTGTCAGTCACTGTAGGCACAATGATGAGGCTAGGCAAGTGTGTGAAGGGGGGGGCACCGAGTCTCGGGTAAAGGAGGGATCTAGCAGTCCACGTTTGCATTCCTGCAGTGCCCACCACTTAAAAGAGGGCAAACAAGGGCCACGGGCCGAGGGAGGGTAGAAATCATCACACCTGTTGCCTGGGCAGAGCTGTAGGCTCCCCAGACACACTTGTGGGCCCAGAGGTGGCTGATCAGTATTCATCCGCAACACTGTAGGGGCCACTTCCCAGTGATCGCCCAGCCTAGTGGGAAACTCACTAATCGACACTGATCACCCCTAGCTTCCCTGTGGCCCACGCAGAAGCAGCTGAGGGTCCTTCAGTGCTGACTGGGTTCAAACTGATTTAAGCTTTACCTTCCATGCCTTCGCTTCTGTCAGCCTGCAACAATCACAAAAATTGATTGCGTCTATACACACCTCCCCTCCAAGGTCAGAGCCTAGGAACAGGTGGGAATTCCTGCACACCGTACTCTAGACATGGGACATAACATTCTATAAACCCTGGTTCCTTGGCCAGCTCACCCGCGCCTGCCTGCCTGCCTGCCTGCCTGCCTCCACCTTCTCCCTGAAAAGCTACCTGTTTTAGACAAGTCGGCTGGGGCACCCAGTAAGTCCTCAGCCACCTCAGCCCCTCCTCTAGTGTACACCTCCGGCGGCGGCGGCGGCGGCGGTTTACCTGCCTTGCGCAGCAGGCCGATCTGCGAACCGTTGAGGGCCATGTAGTCGCAGTCGGTGATGACCCGCACGCGCACCCCGCGCTGGTGCAGCAGCTGCACCGCACGGCCCAGCTGCGGGCTGGAGAAGGCGAAGAGGCAGAGCTCCAGGCTGGAGCGGGCGGCCAGCAGCGCGCGCAGCAGGCGGCTCAGCGAACTCTCGCTGTGAGGGAGACTGCACCGGCAGCCCGAGGAGGGCCCGGAGGGCAAGCCCGGGGTCTGCAGGAGGGCCTCGGTGCAGGTCACCTGCGACGGGAAGAAGAGCACCTCGCGCCGTGGCCGCCGCCCCGCCAGCAGCCAACGCACCAGCCACGGCAGCGCCTCTAGGGCCAGCGCGAAACCCGCGCCGGCCGCGACCACCAACCGCCAACTCGAGAGCCCCATGGCCGCCAGCTCAGACGTCGGCGCGGGCATCAGGCGCTTGCGCGTGCCGGACACACACCAACCCGCCCCCGCCCTCAATCCCCCCCCCCGCGTGCCACGCCCCCCCTGCGCTGGACCGCCCCCAGCCCGCAGCTGGGTTAGCTCCTAGCTGCTAGGCTATCCTCGGCCCTCCTACCCTACTCCGCGCTGAACGCTGGCGGCACCCGCACTCGGTACTCGGCTAACATTTATGTGCCAGGGATCTCAGGCTAGTACCATCACCAAGCCAGCCACACACTGCAAGCTCCCCCCTCCCCCGCCCCGCACCCACTTCTGCTACGACCCAACCACCCCTTAACCAGCTCATCACCAGGGGCTGCGCCTGTGCCCAGGGCTGACCATTTCCCTGGCTCTAAGCTGGAGGCACTCTCAGGGCACACCTTCCCTGTCTCTGACCATCAGGCCCTTAAATTTTGGGCGGTAGAGAACAACAGGTAGATCAACTCAGGGTCCTTGAAACGGGGTAATGATAACGATGGTGGTCAACTCGGCACAGGCCAGCTGAAGATCAAAACCAGGATGTAAAAAAAAAAACAAAAACTAATGGGTGATAGAGCAGATCAAAACTTCAGGGCCTTCCTCGCCATGAGAGTGCGTACAGTGATGTTACCCTCTGCCTAGTGAACTTTTCAATTTTGAGGGAACTTAAGCCCCTACACAGATTCGTGCGTCTTATGTACCTGCTTACAACACTGTTGAACTCTGGGTAAAATGGGTTTCTGAGAAATGTGCCACCTAGAAGTTCCCACCCTGGAGAAGGCACAGGAAAGAGGACAACAGAGAGAAAAATCTTAAACCTCAAGCCCGTCTGGGCCGAGGCCGTTGCCGCTGGCCTGTGCTCAAGAGCACACACAGGCTTGCTTCCTTGTCTAATTAAACTTGACTGCTTGAACCATTACTGGAGACACCCCCCACATAAGACACCACCCCCCAACCCCCTCGCTTAGGCACAGGGTGGAGAGGGCCATGGGCAGCTTTACAGGCACCTGGTCTGCATTCACGGAGAGAAAAGCAAGGGCAGCGGGGATTCCTAGGTGGGAATTAGCCCAGCTGGTCTCGAAGTGACCACTCAGCACCTGCTCTGTTCCACTGAGGGTTAGTCATCCCGGGGTCCTGGGAGAACAGCAGGGACGGGGTGCTGACCTCCATCTAGAAATTCAAAGACCAGAGACGGGGTCATGCTTCAGCCAGTGACTGACCTCCCCAGGGAACCCCCCAGGCTCTGGGAAACTGCAAAGGTCCATACAGCCGTTGCCCAGAGAGTTAAATGGCCAATGGCTGGAGGGGGTAATGCTTAGAAACAGAAGGAAGGGTGGGGTCTTGGGCTGCTCAGAGATTCCAGTGAGAACTCCTGCGTTCAGTCTCATGTCTATAGGAATATGCCTAAGTATGCCCATTGTGACATACATGACCTACTTCTGCCCCATGAGAAGGCCCAGAACCAGCCCAGTAGCTGTGAGGCTCTGGAGGGAGGACTGGAACTAGAAGCCATACTAATGCCTAGGTCCTAATGCCTGCCATTTCTACTAGGTCTCAAGCTGGCTTCCCCTGAGTTAGGATGGTGGTTCTGTTTGGGGGGCTCCTTTGCCTTATACCTATGGTCTGCCTTTGTTTCTGCCCCACTTGTATATCTAGTTTTTAGTTCTAAAGACATGGGCAAACTAAGAAAGAAACAAGCTGCTACCAAATTTTCTGAGTTACCTTAGATGGCTGGTTTTCATAGTTTTCTGTTTGAGGGTTCATAGGTACTTATATTATTCTGCAACTTGATAGCTTTTTCAGATTAAAAAAAAATACTTGTTAGCTTTTCAGGTTGTCTGCCTCCATCTGTAGACATACACAAGATGCTTTAATCCCAGCACTCAGGAGGCAGAGGCTGGTGGATTTCTAAATTCAAGATCAGTCTGGTCTACAGAGTGAGTTTCAGGACAGACAGAGCTACACAGAAAAACCCTGTCTCGAAAAACTTAAAAAAAAAAAAAAAAACCTCTAAAATCCAGGTGTGCCTCTTAAAATAATTACAGCTGGACTTGGTAAAAGTTAATATTCCTTCAAGAAGAAAGCTAGGCAAACTCACTAGGAAGATCACCTGAGTAGCCAGCCTTTCATCCCTCCCAGTTGGTTGTGTGCAATTAGGTCCTGTTGTTAGAGTTTTTTTTTTAGTCTTGTCTGGCCCACAGTCAGGACAAATCTCTCACCCCCCAGTCCCGACCGAGTAAACACACAGAGACTTATATTGTTTACAAACTGTATGGCCGTGGCAGGCTTTTTGTTATCTAGTTCTTATATCTTAAATTAACCCATATTTATTAGTCTATAAGTTGTCACGTGGCTCGTGGCTTACCGGTATCTTAACATGTTGCTTATCATCATGGCGGCTGGCACTGTCTCTCCGTCTCAGCTTTTGACTTTTTAACATTTTCTTGTTTGTTTCGTCTATACTTTTTGCCTGGCTACTGGCCAATCAGCATTTTATTTATATAGAGCGATATCCACAACAAGGTCCTAATTGCATGAGACCTCAAGGTTTTTCTGGAAAACTGGGGTGTTCAGGCTACACACTAAAAATGGGGAGGGAGTCCACCCACACGGCAATAAAAAGGGTGCTACATATGTTGAGTAAGGGCCCCAGATATTGCTTAACACCGCCTTGAGAAAACCTTCTGCAACAAATGATGAGTTTGTTACTGCTAAGTTTCATGGTATTTAAAATTTTATAATGGAGAGAAATTTATATATAAAAGTTATATATATGGCTAAATGTAGTCACACATGTCCAGCTCTCTGAATACTCCCCCTTCTCTTGGTCTTGCCCCCACCCTTCAAGGTCATGGATATCTTTGAAGCTCTTTCTGAAATGTAAACTTTCTCTCAGGGTCTGTAAGACCATTGGGGAAGAGACAGTTAAAAACCTGTTCTAAGCAGAAAGAAATCAGTTTAAAATTTATAACAAAAAGGTTAGTAGTTAAAAGTCTATCTACAGACAATCTTAATTTGCTTCAGCATGGCATGTATGTCCCTTAGATTCAACTCATGTTTAGAAAATAGAAACAGTAAGATATGAGGGAAAATGTTTAAATGGATACAAAATAGATGGTTATGTTTTTGGTTTAAGAAAAGTTAAAATCTTGGAGAAGATTCTTTTTTTCCTAAGAATAAAAAATAACAGATGAGGCCCGGTGGCAGTGGCTCATACCTTTAATCCCAGCACTCGGGGGGCAGAGGCAGGCAGATCTCTGTGAGTTCAAGGCCAGCCTGGTCTACAGATTGAGTTCCAGGACAGCCAGGGCTACACAGAGAAACCCTGTCTCCAACAACAACAAAATTATATTTTGTAAAGGTACATTATAAAAGTATCAGAAAAATGAGGTTCCCAGTCTGAATATGGACTGTATCTATAGTTTTAAAGTTTATTTTGATACTTCAATTCAAAATGTAATTTTTAAGGCTCAAATTATTAAAAGGGATAAAATTATAAAATCCTAATCTTACTAATTTATTGTAAACTGTTAAAGATAATTAAGATATAAAGGTTAATGATCAGTCACCTTATAAATGATCAAACTCTTTAGTGTGCTCAGAACTATGTTTGCAGTCATGCTAAGTAAAAATATAATTTATTTACAAGCTTGGCGGGAGAGACCAATTTACATCTCCCATTATATAGTCTTCTGGGTGTGTTGTCAAAGTTAAGCCTAAAGCAAGTACCTCAAAACAAATTTAAAGTAACCTTAAAGATTTTTAACGTGTAGTAATATTCAAAATCAAGGATATTTTTAAATAGTTATAAAAATTTTGAATGCTTGAATAAAATGGGTAAAGTGTACAACACACTCGCGTGGCAGGACGCCCCAGGCTCAAGTAATGCACACTTTCCCTCGGGCAGGATCAGATCCTACCAAGAAAACGGCATGCTAGCCTCTTTGCAGGGTAAGGATGCATGGGAACTAAGGGCTGCCACAAGTCTGCTGCTCCCATCTCTGGCTTTGTGGGCCTGAACCAGGAAAATCTCCTCCTTATCTATAGGGAAGATAAATCACTCCTCATGTCTCACATGGCAGGAGGATGAATTCTGTGGCCCAGTGGAGGATCTTGGAGTCTGTACCCACATCCTGAACATCTAGACAACAGAGACACAAAGTAATGACTCTGCCCTTGATGTCTCCCAGACTGACATATCAGGATGCTGTGAACGGAGGGACCTGTACCTAAGCTGACCACTTGATTGGGATGGGACTTGCATGCTAGTTCAATTGGCCATGACCTTTACCCTGGGTTTCACTTCTTCCTCTTAGAAAGCCAGGCATGGCGATGCACACCTTTAATCCTAACATAGGCAAGCAGATTTCTGTGAGCTTGAGGCCAACCAAGCCTAGTCTCCATAGTGAGTTCCAGGACAGTCAGGGCTATGTAGAGAGAACCTGTCTAAAAAAAACCTTTCTCAGCAAAAGCTAATTCCAGTGTCTATCCCCTAACTACTCATGTTCCCTGATTAAAGTAGGCGGGCAGATACTGTCTTCAAACTCACACCTTCAGAAAATTATTCAGGACTTGGATGTGATGTCCCTTGGAACGTTGCTAAATAATCCTATAAAAATGACTCAATAGGATTCTCTTTCTCTTTTAAATTGTCACTTAGATGCTGATATTAACTGACAAAGCTTTCAGGTGCTTGTTCCTTATTCAGGAGTCTGATGTAACAAACAGCTGATTACAGTTACCTTGTCCTACAGAACTCTGTAGGAGAGAGGCTGCCCCTGTGTGTACTAACAAACACAGTCTTATTTGTGGAGGTCAGATTCTGGTCTCTTTCCTGCCTTTTGTCTCTTGACTCTGCACCTCCAAAATCTAACAAACAGACCTTTGCAGGCTCCACACTCAAGCTTAAATCCAGGAAAGCTGGTCCCCCCATAATGATCTCTCCAGTCTCGCACTTAGCCCTATAGCAGCCTGCTTGCAGGAGCCCCTCCTCCCACCCTACCTCTACTCCCTGGGGACTCCATCTCTCAGAGTGGACCCAT